AGATTAAATTCGAAGCATCTCTGAGATGCAGCTTCTAAAATAAAATTAATGTACTTTATGCATGGTCATGAAACGTGGAATGTTCTGTTCTTGATATATAGGGCAGCACTTTTGGCAGCTTTCATAATTGCCAAGTTGCTGCTTAAAATGCGCTTTTAATCTGTGGGCCCTGGATCATGTTTGTTCTAAATTGAACAAATCAGAAACCAGGGAAATAAAGCTACAGCCTTCTCCATCAATTCATATATAGCAGCAACTTTAATTCACTGTCATTGTTGGGATCGTGTGGTCCAGCCATTCACAAAAGAGTGTTGTTCTCGGATCACAGGCATATATATCCGTAACCGGTCAGTTGTTCTCAGAATACTCTGGGAAACATTTCATCGATACATTGGAGAGGCCATTCAGGTCAATTGCATTCATTTATATCAGTGGTCGGGAAACATGGGTAAATTACTCCAAATGAGGTAAAAGTGAAAATCCTGGGGGTAATGAGCAGAGTGCTACTCCCCTTCTTTGGGATTGGGATGTAGACTCATCTTTTTCATTCCTCTGACCTTTGATATTGGGCTGTGGCACCAGGGTGGGTGACATAACCTTTAGCCTGGTTTGTTCCTTTTTGCACACCACACATGGAATGATTAAAGGTAGGGAAAGCTACCTTCAATTCTGCATTGGCTGTCTCTAGCAAGTATGTCATTGCTAACACCACTCTGGTAGCCACTGATGATGATTAAATTCTGTGTGAGCTAGCAAAAATTTAATGCAACTTGCTAGGCACGTTGGACACCTTACTACTCCCTATACCACACCATGGCTGGAGTGCAATATATTCCAGCAAAAATAGTGCACATCTTTATCAAATTTGGTGCATCCTGCTAGTTCGATACACAGCTTGTGCAGATTCAATAATATTTTTAATTCAAATAATGTATGATTTCCTTCCTTTTGAATCAAGGGGGTAATGTCATCTTTGGAGGGTAAAAGGTAAAAATGTTCCCTGACCCCTGATTTATATCAAGGCACCCTTCGATACTCTCTTGCTTGCATGCAGCTTCAAATGACATGGAATGCTGCTGTTGTTTGGTTTTGGAAAAGCCAATTTGCTTTATAATATCCTATCTTTTGCTACAGTATTGTTTTGGGGGAAAAAACCATTTCTAGTTACAGAAACTCAGTTTTTATCTGAGGCGCCAGATAATGTGGCTCTTAAACTGGCTGAATCCAAACGAGTTACTTATGAATCCAAATAGCATCATGATATTCAAACATATACAGAAGTACTAACCTACATAGGTTAGTACTGTCCTCTGAAGATGCCAGCCACAGAGAGTGGTGAAACATTAGGAAGAACAACCTTCAGAACACGGTCAAAGAGCCTGAAAAGCCCACAGCAACCTACATAAACCTGTTGGGCAGCGTTAATTGCAGTGTAGTTTGCTTAATTTATATATGATTTTTCACTACAGTTGCATCTGAAAGGTCCACAGGAAGTAAAAGAGACAGCAGATTATAAATGTTGATGTAGAGATAGGCTGTACATGCATTGGGTGAAATCCAGTGACATAAAGTTACCCCATGTAAGTCTGATGCTGTTATCAGCAGTGGCTGCATTTTGGCAATTAAACATTTCCTATTCCTCCTGCCTCAAGTTCCTCGGCTCCTTTCGAATCCCCTTAGTCCTGAGGAAACATTTGAGGACAGCAGAAAAGCGGCGGGAAATCTTAAATGTCTGATCATTTAAGCAGATGTGGTGGGACCTCTGGCAGCAATTTTCCTACGTATAAGACTTCCCGGAAGCCCCAAAGCCTTCCCTAGGACCAGAGGGATCCTAAGGGATGCTAGGCAGCTTTTGCAGGGGAGAAACAGGAAAGGTTTAATTACCAAATATGGCATCATCAGACTTGCAGGGTGTACGTTAATGGATTTCAGCCGCTGAAACTGATCCTAGTAAAACAGAGAAAACTGCTGCTGTGAGGAATGAGCCTGGCAGAGATCTATGCACTTAAAAAAAAAAGACTGAGAAAACTGGCAGGATGGACTCAAGAAAGAATGAAATGAGGCTACTCCAGACAAAGGCCAGGATGCCCATCCTGTTAGCATTCAGTAAACACGTTCCCCCTGTACATCCACGAACATTCCAGGATTCATATTGTCTGTTGGACCTTTGAAGCAGGTTGATGTACTGTTGTCTTGAATGTTTATCAGTCCCATCACTATCTGAATCCAACTATCTCCCTTTTTCAGGTGTTCTTCTATATAGGTTTGGTGTTCTTGTAATAGATTTCCCATATCAAGGAAGGAACTCATGTCTTGTTGATTTCCCTTTTCCTACATCAATGAGTACTCTGAAGGGATCTGCACTGTTTACCTGGAAATACAACAGTAAAAGAGTTTCTGTGCATGAACATTATGGGTTAGAAGCAGGTCTCTTTGTAAATGTTCTATTGCTGCCTCCTGTAAACAGGAGGGGAAAACACTTTCTCATGAATAGCTTATGGCATCAGACACCTTGGAAGATATAAAGGTAAGGGTCAAGCAAACAGTAGGCATTGCTCCATAGAGCTTGGCCAAATCCTCAAGATCTAGAGGAGGGCCAGGGAAACTGTGACCTTCCAGATGTTGTTGGACTACAATTCCTGTCAGCTTTAGCCACCAATGCCCACTAAGACATGGTGGGAGCAGCATTTTAACAACACCCTGGAGGTCCTCCCCCATCTTTATTCACATAGGACAATGTGGTAGCTGCTCAAGGTTTCTTGACTGCATTCATGTCTTCCTCCTTGGAGCCCCCACCTTGAAAAGACATGTGCTAGGTACAAACCAGCAATTAATTTCTAATGTTTTTATAAGGGTTTTTTTAAAACATAAAAGTTCTGTCCTTCATTATTCTTATCTTTGCAGTGTTTCAGAAGTCAGTTACCTCATACTTTTGCAGGGAGATACTTCTATTTTAACTATTTGGCTCAGAATATTATTCAAAGAAAACTCTTAAATTTTAATTTACAATTACTCTGTGATGGTGGTAGATGATTCATTCATTTTGGACTTGCTAACTGCAGTTGAGTCTTACCCAAGGCCACTCCTTATGTTTCCCACTTCAAGTGGAATTTAATCTTAAAAAACTATGTTTCATGTATTCTGTACGGGTGTAGGTGGTTTAAATGTCATAATTAGTTGCTATAATTTATTAACTATCCTCGATTATATGACTGATCCGTGTCTGGCAATAAGAGTTTGTGGAGTGTCTCCAATGAAGTTTTGTTTGTATGCTAAAGATATTTTAGCTGCACAGAACACACACACAAAGGTTTCAGATGGATCTGCTGAGACTATGAATCAAGATTCATGTGTTTCTTTTAAAAGTATGTGCTTAATTTTTAATGTTGTATCAGTGGTGACGTCTGCTGTTCACTTTAAAAAGTCACCTTGCTATCTTTAGCCATGTACATTTGAAAGCTTGGTACACAACATATCCAGAATACATTATGCTTCTTTATCAAATTCATAGACCACAGTCCAAGCGAACATGACAGAAAATTAGTTCCATGAGCTTGAGGGTACCTGAGGCTCATTTTCTCAATTAGTATTTTCTATGGTATGTTTATGAAACAGAAGAAAGTTTCCAAAGCACTGTGAAATATTGCGGGTGTAGGACAAGGTCAACTGTTTAGATTCAAAACTTCCTGCAGGTAATAAATATATATTTAAGTAAATATTTAGCTCCCAGAGTTGGTGGTAGAGATTATGATTAATTTTGGATAGTGATTGTGCCTAGTTTTCTCCAGCTCCCCTTCACAGAAGCATAGGAAGGTGCTATGTATTCAGTCCCTATTCTTGTTACATATTGTTGTTTGCCATCAGGTTGTAGCTGACTTGTAGCAACCTTAACAAGGCTTTCCAAGTAAGTGAGATATTTAAGATGTGGTTTTACCAGTTCCACACCCGCCCGCCCTCCAGTGAGTTTCTCTAGCCAAGTAGGGATTTGAACCCAGGTTTCCTATACTCTAATCCAGCACTTTATCTACTACACAACAATTGGGTATCCAAGCACTACTGTAAAAAGGTAAAGGTTCCCCTTGACAATTTTTGTCCAGTCGTGTTCGACTCTAGGGGGCAGTGCTCATCCCCGTTTCCAAGCCATAGAGCCAGCGTTTTGTCCGAAGACAATCTTCCGTGGTCACATGGCCTGTGCGACTTAGACACGGAACACTGTTACCTTCCCACCAAGGTGGTCCCTATTTATCTACTCGCATTTTGCATGCTTTCGAACCGCTAGGTTGGCGGGAGCTGGGAAAAGCGATGGGCGCTCACTCCGTCGCGTGGATTCGATCTTACAAGTGCTTGGTCTTCTGACCCTGCAGCACAGGCTTCTGCGGTTTAGCCCGCAGTGCCACCACGTGCCTTAAGTGCCACCACGTCCCTTAAAGCACTACTGAGGCATATGAGAAAAAAGAGTTAATTTGAAAGGGTGAGCAAGGAGAGAGAGTCCATTGCCTGCTTCTCCATGTGAACATGGTCTGCTACATGGGAGGGGGGTCTCCCTCATTTTTAGAGCCCCAAGTTGTGTGCAGTGGCACCATGTGTGGCAGAGGCTTATCCCCCCTCCCCATCAACAGGACAAAGCTGGAGCCCTCTCTTTGCTCACACTTTCACAATTAATCCTTTTGCTGAATGCCTCAACAGGGCTGGAGTCAAACTGCAAATCTGTTTTCTCAGTTTTGTCTACACTGATTGACAGTAGCTGTCCAGTTTCAAACAGGACTTGCCATAATAAGAACTGAACCTAGTATTTTTGCATGCAGATTATGTGCTCTAACGGATTGCTGCCGTCGTGGCAGCTGAAAGACACGTAGTGTGAGCTCTTAATTTGGTGAAACAAGCAGGGGTCATGTGGAATCGTGACATGCTATTACAATTTTGTTTGTCCCTTCAACAGCTTTTAAATACTGTTACATAGAATCTTACATATCTTTTTATGGATTGTTTTGTATTTTCAGGCTCTTGTAGATCAGTTTGAAGATAAGAAGACATCAATTTGTGAACGTATGAAACTTTTTTATAGTTGTCACATTCCTCCACACTGGGCTGTACAGGTAAAAACATAACTGGCATATAACCTTCTAGAGAGAATACACATTATGTTTGAGTTTTAGTACCTCATGTTATGAAATTTACAACTTAAGATAATGCAATAGAAAAATTATTTCTTGTTCAGTTAGTGTGAAAAAACGTACATAATTTTTTTCAGCTTTTTCTCCCTGTGATTTCTCTTGTAGGGGTAATATGATCTACTAAAGCAGAAGTAAAATTCTTCATAGCATCAAACTATTAGTTTGCTACCCTTTTAATTTATTTATTTAGTGTCATTTCTAGGCCACCTTTCTCCTGAATTTGAGGTGGCTCATAGCATTAAAACAAATAAATGTAGTAGCTGGTATAATTTCTGCAGCTGAAGGAAGGCGCCTCTGGCCACCGAGTCCACCTGGGCTTCCAGTGTTGACTAGGGTCCAGGAGCACCCCCAAGCTGCAGACCTTGTCCCTTAGGGGAGTGCAACCCCATTCAGGGCAGGGAAATGGCCCTCCAACCTGTATGGGGAAGCACCCACTAACAGCACTTCCGTCTTGTCTGGACTTAGTTTCAATTTATTAAGCCTCAATTTATTAAGCCTCAATTTATTAAGCCTCAATTTATTAAGCCTCAATTTATTAAGCCTCAATTTATTAAGCCTCAATTTATTAAGCCTCAATTTATTAAGCCTCAATTTATTAAGCCTCAATTTATTAAGCCTCAATTTATTAAGCCTCAATTTATTAAGCCTCAATTTATTAAGCCTCAATTTATTAAGCCTCAATTTATTAAGCCTCAATTTATTAAGCCTCAATTTATTAAGCCTCAATTTATTAAGCCTCAATTTATTAAGCCTCAATTTATTAAGCCTCAATTTATTAAGCCTCAATTTATTAAGCCTCAATTTATTAAGCCTCAATTTATTAAGCCTCAATTTATTAAGCCTCAATTTATTAAGCCTCAATTTATTAAGCCTCAATTTATTAAGCCTCAATTTATTAAGCCTCAATTTATTAAGCCTCAATTTATTAAGTTTCAATTTATTAAGCCTCAATTTATTAAGCCTCAATTTATTAACCAGCAATAAATTGTAAATTAAAAAGCAACTAAACTGTAATAATAATTAAAAATACATTAAGTGATTTAAAACTTTTAAAACAAATTTAGCTAGAAACTGGCATGTAAGACTCAATTATTTAAAACCTGTTTGAAAATATGGGTCTTCAGTTGTGGGTGGAAGGATAAAGAGGGGGCAACTTGGTCTCTCGAGGGAGAGCATTGCATAGTCTGGAAGCTGCCACAGAGAAGACTATCTATCATTTCCTCATCAAGTGTACCTGCAGTGGCTATGAGACCAAGAAGAGGGCCTTCCCTGGAGATTTTAAGAGCCAAGAAGGCTCATATGGGGAGATGCAGTCCTTCCGATAGACTGGACACGAGCCATATAGGGCTTTACAGATAATTTGAATTGGGCCCTGAAACAGACTAGTAGCCAGTGCAGCTGTTGTTTTAGGGCATTATAGGCTCTCTATAATCCAGGTTTGTAGACTAGAGATTATGGTTTATATTTTTAAAAAACTTTGAATTTAAATGTTTTAATGTGTTTTTATTTGACACAGGAAAACCCATGTTTGCTGATGACACCCCCCTCCTGCATTTCAAAAATCCTCAGAGTTCACAGAACTGCATGTGGTTTTCATTTCTGGTTGTCTTAATTTTTTTCCCCCCAGGCCAATCCCATTTTCCAAATCCTAGCGAAAAGTACGGTGATGATTTATTATGAACAGTGATTGCAGCGTTATCCTGCACAGCACAGCCATCTCTACAGTTTCCCTCTTACTTAACCTAGACTCTATGACATCTCGATCTTACATATGATGTGTTACTATCAGTCCTGCCTTACCTTCGAATTCACAGCTGCCTGAGGCTACACACTTCTCTCCCCAATTCCCCTTACACGGTCTTCCAGAAGCCCATGTAAAAAGATATAGGAAGAGACCCTGTTGGGAGCTTGTTAGCAACTTCCACTTCAGGCTGCTTGACTGTGGTCCAGACTTACTCATTCCTTCACTCATTTTGTCACTCTGCCTAGCTTTTTTTTCTGTTTTGGGTTAGATCTTGAGTCAGCTGGGTTGCTCCCAGGGCTCAAGCATGCTGTAATGCAGGTCAGTAAAGTAACTGGTGAAAGTAACTGACCTGTGTATGATGCACCATGTTAATAGTTTCCGGTAATCATGGTGACTTTTTATGTCACTGCTTGGTCCTGATCACAAATTGGTGACGTTTAAAAATGTCCAGAGAAACTTTAATCTTGCACTTATTCTACATACTGGGACAAATGCTTTAATGAATTCTAATATGCTGTTTATAATAGAATAAAGATGTTGATCTATAATTATTAGGTATTAATCAAGATAGTAATATTCATAGATAGTAAGTGGTTATTAATTTATGATTGCTGGTTTACTTCATATTAAATATTAAACTTCATACTAACCTTGCATAGTACAACACTATGTTTACCTGTTAGAGTATGCTTACACACGTATATTTATCATCTGACTTGCATTAGCTGTGACTTGATTATGTAAATGGGCCATTGCAGATGCATTATACAAAGGTAAAACTTCCAGTCTTCCCTTATCCCAACAGATTTGAAGCTGGAACTGTGTTGGGTCTTTGTGAGTTGTCAAGAAATTAACACATGTAACTTTAGAAGTCAGTGGACTAGAGATTGGAGTCTAGACCAGTGGTGTCAAACTGTGGCCCTCCAGATGTTCTTGGACTTCAACTCCCAGAAGCCTTCACCACCACCTCTGCTGGCCAGGATTTCTGGGAGTTGAAGGCCAAGAACATCTGGAGGGCCACAGTTCGACACCACTGGTCTAGACCTAAAAAGGCCCCCTGGGGGCCAGACCATCCACTTACGTTTCCGCTGCCACCACCAGCCCAGCTCTTCCTTCCAATCACTCCAGAGATCGACGTTGGCTATCCACTCATCAGCCTGGCACAGAGACTCATCTTCCCTTCTTTTGCCAGGAGTGGATATTTGTAAGTGAGCGCCGGAGTGATTGGAAGGGAGAGCGGAGTAGGCGGCAGCAGCAAACACGTGAGTGGACAGTGTGCCCCCAGGGGGCTGGACCCTCATTGCATCCAGCTGTGTAAGGGTATTTGTATTCCTAATGCAAGAGTTCTCGTTGCCTTTCCATATCATGGGGTTTGTCTAGGTCACACTCTTCAGGTGTTCCAGGACAACCCTGTGGAGCAGACAAAAAGCTGCTGCCACCAATATGTGAAGAACTGTAGGTTCAAGTGAGTTACGGCTCTAAAACTCACATGCAGTCTCTGGTAATTTTAATTCTGTAACATTGTCAATGCCCACTAAATATGTTTATGGCCAACTTCTATAAGTTCTTTTCATGACAGATGCAGCAAAAGAGAAAAAGAAGGTGAGGAGAAAAAAGAATTTCCATGCCTTTCAAAGCCAATCGTTGGACAAATTATTTTCTATCTTAGGTTCATATCAGAACTGCTAAATGTCCCCCCCCCCAGGAAAGCATAACTTGATGTTTTTTATACTTTATTTTGCAGCGCCAGCTCGCAAGCTTACTGTTTGACCTTGGATGTACCAATTCAGCCCTGCAGATTTTTGAGAAACTGGAAATGTGGGAGGATGTAGTTATCTGTTATGAAAGAGCAGGGCAACATGGGAAGGTAGAGTATTTCCAGTTTACTGTTGTTTTGTCTGTGTGTGGTGTGTTCTACAATTTTGTATGGGAAAAAGAAGAAAAAGCATATGGAATAAGCATGTAACATGGATGGAAGAGGCTGTCTGGATGTTTTGTATGTTATTTAGAAATCTGTTAATGAAACATGTATGTTAACTGATTTTGCAGGATAAGTGTTTTGGGAAGTATGGAGTGTAATGACCCCACAACCTGTTGTCCAAACTAAAGATCTCTGTGTTGAAAGCAACACCGCTTCCACATGTGCAAGGGTCAATGAATTACCTTCTTGCTCATATGCAAGGGATGGGACAAAATGCCGATAAAAACAAACAAACTACGTCTCCTAAGTCATTGCATCTGATCAATATTACTTTTTCTCTGACATTTAATTCCCATGTTTGCCATCCAGAATTCAGTTTGGAGGTCATATCCTGACTTTCAGTAGTAGGGAATAATGGTTTTGACAATAAGAGCAGCACTTTGCACCCCACAATTGACTTTTACTGATTCTGCTGAAATTTTGTAATAAATGGAATTAAAGGCTTGGATGCTAATGCAATAGATTGTTCTCCTAATCCATTATAGTCTCAGCCTCTCACCAAAATGGAACTATTTTACAACAGTGACATTAATAATTATTATTACATGTGATCAAGTAAGTTCTGACCTATGGCAATCCCTTCCAGGTTTTTCTAGGTATAGAATATTCAGAAGTGGTTTACCATTTCTTTCTTCTTGGGGCACCCCTTTGGACTATGCAGCTTGCCCAAGGCTGCACAAGCTGGCTCTTCTCCCAAGAGGCACAGTGGGAAATCAAACTTGTGATTGTAAACAGTGAGTTTAGTACTTGTAGCCAGGTACTAAACTCACTGACTTGTGATTGTAAACAGTGAGTTTAGTACCTGTAGCTGTCCAGCTCAATGGCAATACAAGCAATCGACTTTTCATGCCATTTCTCATATCTGAGTCATCTGGTATGCCATATTTTTAATTATGGGCAAGTTGTGAATACACATTGAAAAATACATTTGGTACATTCTATAGCAATACCAACATGAATTTGACCCAACTCCGGGAGGCAGTGGAAGACAGGAGGGCGTGGCGTGCTCTGGTCCATAGGGTCACGAAGAGTCGGGCACGACTTAACGACTAAACAACAAAATAGCAATATATCTATCAATTTAACTGCTTTGGCTGCCACAGTTTCTTTTAAAAAGACACATTTCTTGGTTCCATTTGAGCTTTTGCTAGCTTAGGGTTCCCCCCCCCAAATATTGTTCAATTGTCAAACAAAAATATTTGTTTCCATGGAGGCCTTTTGCATGCTCTGGTGAGAAATTAGTTTTAGTGGGAGATGGAGTACACTGTTTTATGATGTGATTTTAACTGCTTTTAATTAATCTTTTTAAAAACATTTAATATTGGTATATGTTTAATTGTGTTTTTTTGTGATTTTAGTTGTATATGGCTTTTAGTCATTTATAAATTGCCTTAGATCTCTCTTCAAAAGGAAGGTAGGAGAGAAAGAAAATAACTAACTGTACAACTTGGTCTCTTAAAGTATTGGCCACCTAGTCCCAACTGTAGCCACCTTATTGAATCAGTTGTTGAATGATGAGTCAACACTTGAGTAAATTCAATTGATTCAACGACTTAACCAGTGGTGCCCCGCATAGCGACGATAATCCGTTCCGGAAAAATCGTCGCTATGCGAAAAGAAAAAGCCCATAGGAATGCATTAAACCCCATTTAATGCGTTCCTATGGGCTTAAAACTCACCGTTCTGCGAAAATCCTCCATGCGGCTGCCATTTTCGCTGCCTGGTATGCGAGGAAGCAGCGTGAAAACACTGCGGGTGGCCATTTTTTCCCGGCAGCCATTTTGGAACCGCCAATCAGCTGTTTTTAAAACATCACTATGCAAAAATCGGTAAGCGAAACAGCTTACCAATCATCGCAAAGCGATTTTTTACCATTAAAAACATTGTTATGCAATCACAAAAACGATCGCAAAAAATCCGTCGCTATGCGGATTCGTCATTAAACGAGGCGCTCGTTAAGCGAGACACCACTGTACTAGTTTTAGACTAACAATAGTGTTTTAGCAATGGGATATATAATATTTCCCTCAGTGCCAATGTTAATCTTGCCAAGTATGTTAGCAGAACATTTTAGGAAGGATCTCTTAAAATTATGAATGTATTGAAACTTTAGATTCTATGGGAATAAATAAATCCAGGAGCAGAACCTTAGCATTAAGCTGCTGTTGCTATATGCATTAGACTCTACCTTGCATATGCAAATGTGCACAGCCTGGTGCATAAGACAAAGAAAGAGGCTGTTTCAGCAGTCTGCAAGTTCTGGCTGCACTCTTAGATCTGTGAAACATTACAAAGAAGTGTTTCTCAGTGAGAATCTGAAAAAAAAATGCATGAGTTGTAGCCTGCTTGCAACCCAGACAGGATGTTCTGGGGAAACCATCCAGTGTCTATACTTATTAATTGCCATCTGTGTCCACATATTTAACTTCCTGAAGAGCTGCATATGTACACTGACTAGTGTGCATTTTAATTTTTCAGACATTGGATGATTCTTGTTGGTTCTTAGAGTCTCTGTGTTGATAGTCATGCATAACATACTTTTATACTGTTTGCAGTTCTTACTGGCCCGGAGAATGAGATGGAGGATTCTTTTCTCAGCTAATAATTATTGGTTTTCATTAATTCCTTTTCAGTGTGCGTCAGAAAGGCCGAGGGCATTTTGTAAGACATGTTTTATCATCACCCATAGAGACTTAGACTATTAATCTCCATTGTAATGTCCTTTTTTCAAGAAATTTTCATGTATTGCCTTATCTTCCTCTAGCCTTAGGAAGTACAAGTAATAGGAACTGTGATATTTCAGATGGAAATATCATTTTGAGCTGTAGATAATCATGGACTTTTAGTGTGGTCTTCCATGGTTTATGTACTTGTGCTGGGTAAATACCTATGTCTGGTAATTATAAACCAAGTATGTCTTGTTTTGCCAAATGCTGTTGTCCTCTCTTAGTTGTGTATGCCAAAGTGATGCTATGCCAATATGATAATCTTGTCAAGAAGGAAAGCTGAGGCCAATATTTTCCACTTGCTAGAAATTCATTATTACTTGGAAAAATTCTTTGCCTACTGTCAAAAGATAGATAGGAAAGCAGTCTTTGAGGAATGGATAAGGAGGGCGTCTGGATAGGAATGTTTCATAATTGAGACTTGTGCAAGGCTTTGAAAACACATTTAGCTAAATCTGTGATAAGCTCTTGGAATACTGAAAACAAAGCTTGAAGTTCTGTATGGAACACAAATGAAAACTTTATCTGTAAGCTGAAAGGCAATTTAATGTGTGCCCAGTCAGATGAGTTTTTGTAATGAAGAGCTTCTGTTTTACGTTCACCTTTTAAAAATGTTATCCATTACTGTTTAAAGAAAGAGGGTATTCTTCTACAAATTACTTTTCAGTGGCCAGAGTGCTGTTGTAAAAAGTGCCAGCAAGCAAGCGTTTTTCGAAACTTACTGCTGTATGGCATGGAACTAAAAGAGCTAAAGTAGAAGTGGCAAATGTTTTATGTGTCCCGATACTGGTGAGCCTCAAGACTCCTCTGCCTGAGCCAGCATAGCCAATAGTGGTGGAATATTGGAGTGACGCTCAGCTGAAATCTGAGGGGCCAGATATATGCCATCCTTAAATTAAAATGGAAGTGTTAGGAAATGTGGGCTAAAAGGAGTAACTTGCTTAATTAACTGGGTGACTGAAAACTGCAAGAAAGCAATAATGTAGATATAGCTCTGCAGATATATTTGTCTCCAATACCACATAGTCCTCTTAAAATTCACAAAAGGGTTCTGTAATATAGCTGCCAAGAGATTTCTATATTTCCAGATGGAAAAGTCTAATATATTTGAGAAGGCATCCCAACGATTAAAGTACATTTGCATAGCATAACTGCATTTTTCTAAGCAGTTCATCTTAGTGGCTATTCCTTCCTCTGACCAAATTTTCAGATTGTCTACTTTGACTCCACAAATTTTGGTGTGAGAATTTATTTATTTATTTATTCTTTTAAATGAAACATATATGGGGGACAGGAGGAGAAAATAGTGCACATGCACTAATAGGAGCTTCTGTTTGTTGTGCCAGATTCCCACAGACTCACAGGGATGGAAGAAACAGTTTCACTGTTTTATAACAGTAGTTGGTGGTCTAAAGGGAAGCACAAGACTTTTAACAGCATATGATGTGCTGTGGAGGTACCACTCTGGACTGCAGCAGCAATATCTAAATTATTTTACTGACAGGAAGAAAGGTATTCAGAAACATTAAGAATGTATTCTTTAAGCCAGGGGTCCCCAACCCCCGGTCCGCAGCCTGGTGCCGGTCCGTGGCCTGGGCCGGACCGGGCCACTGAGATAGATCTCCCACCCACCCCGCATGCACTCCTGCCTCTGGACAGCCCATTTGCACATGCGCATGTGCACAAGTGGCCGCCACCCCTTCATGAGTGTGCGCGAGTGTCCCCGAGCACCCCTGTGCCTGTGCATGAGCGAGCATGTGCCTGTGTGCACCCACCCACACAAGCGCATGTCCGCTCCTTTGCGCATGCACGTGAGTGTGGGAGGTTGCCCCACCTACCCCAACCGGTCCGTGGACTTCTAAAGGTTGGGGACCGCTAGCAACAAAATCAATTTTCTGCCTGGTTTTGTTTTGTTGGTGCCATGCCTTTTCTTTTCTTTTTTTACTAATGCAGAAGGTGATTTAAACATTTGTGAGGTTAGGCTGAGACTATGGCTAGAGAACAGCTGAGCATAGGCCATGCATCCATTCTATCACCTATTTTGGGTGGAGTGGAGATGGGGAGATGGCAGGATTGAAACTAAAATCTTCTTGATGCAAACTGTGATCTGCTCCTTCTGCCCTTTATAGGTACGATAGATTCAGGCCAGACCAACTTAGAGCATGCAATTCTGTGAATTTGAACTGAAAATATTCCCAAATGGCTGGCTGCCTCTTCTGGCATATACAGTACTAGGCACTACCATTCATTGACCTGGATTTGAGAAAGACTTATGCAAAGTTGATGTAAAAGAGCAGCTTGTGGTGCACTTTTCACCCCAGAGATGTTTATTCGCAGAGTAGACTGTTGCTCTCAGGAGGAGGGAAAAGAAAGAATTGTTGAGATTTTAAAATACCTCGCTGTGGTGTCTCTCCATTGTGTGCTGTTGTGTTCTTTTAGAAAATTATTTTACAGCTTAATCATTCTTCCTAACAAGCAGGTTTTGCGGAAGTCATGTGACTTTCACCTTTGGTTTCATTGCCCTTGTATTTCTTTTGTAAGATTTGTAACAAGTCCTCTACATCTTTCTTTTATATTTCTCTTAGTTGCCAAATGTGCTCCATTTGGCAACTAATGTCAGTGTAACTAATACTGTATAGATTTTGGGGTTGTATCCGGGGTGGATGTCTGGTCATGCAAGAATAAAATCCAGTGTGGGAGAGGAATCACCCACTCCACTCTAGTCCTAAGCTCTCCTTATCTGGGAGGGATAAGAGGCCCAGGAGATCCCCATGCTATTATGAGCATCATATTAGATTTAGACTTCAATAACTATAAATACTGCATTAGACTTAGAGCATGTTATTTTGAAACAGAATTCATGGTAGTGGGAGTGGTCTGGAACATCCTCAGCCTTTTAGGAGCATGCAATAATAAGAAAGCCAATTGTATGTGTTAGAAGCAGACAATACAACAGTTTATAGTGCAGTGAGTAAACCATCAAGCACTGGCTAACTTCTGCATTAGAAGATCTTTCCTTACATTATTAAAAACAAACCCTTTAAAAACACAGGTCTGTGCCTTCCACTTAAAAACAGAAAGCAGAGAGGAAGCTCCTAGTTAGCTGGGATGGCAAGATTTTGGAATATTGCCCTTCCCCAAATATTTGGGCTTTACACTGGATCAAACACTGACTTACACAAACATTGTCTAAATACCAGATGGGAAGTTGCTGCCAGAAATAATATACAGTACTTAGGAAACTAGCTGTGTCAGACTGGGATGCACACCTACAAACAATAAGAACAACAGTTTTGTCCCTGAGTTACTCCACAGCAGAATATGCTAGTATCACATAGTATAAATCAGTACATGCCAAACAAGTTGATGTAGCTCTTAATGAATCATGCAGAATTATTTCCAATTGCCTGAAACCTATCCCCATTGAAAAAATCTGTTACTGTATTTGGCTGGCATTGGCCCTCCAGAAATATGTCAAGAAGTACTGGCAAATAATTAATAAAACAAGGTAATACGGCATCAGTCCTTTCTACTTCATGGATATCAGCCCCCTAAATGACGGCTAAAATTGAGGAAAAGTTTTCTGCAGAATTTTCAAGCTGTAAGTATTAAACCAGAAGAGGTTAAGCTAAACCTATGGAGAACAAAAACAACACACCTTGCCAAATGGATGAATGCTGAATTGTCCCCAACCAGGACAAGTCTCTAGTTGGATCACCTGGAAGTTACTTTATAGGTAGATCAAAGAATAATCAAGTAAAATGAGGCTGCTTGGATACAGGACAACCTTTCTGTTCCTGTGGAGAAATTCAATCAATGCAGTACTGAATTGCATGCATAAAGTGCATGCAATTTATGCCCCACCATGTTTACAAAAGAAGATTTAGCAAACGGCTGAGATAACTCTATTGAAGTAGCCTGCTTCTGGCCAAAAATAGTCTTCAGTTATCTTAACATTTTAATTTGTTTTTACTTTTACCTATATTTCATATATGTCCATAATTTTAAATTGTGCAGTGCTCTGATACGAAGAAAGAAAGAAAAATTGCACAGTTTATATTACTTTAAGTGGACATCCAGTTTTATGCTTTCAAAAGAGTCAAAGGTTGACATTTTCCTATGGTTCCATCAATTCAGACTGTAGGGTAAAGTGTTGCACAGTTCAGTATGCCCCGCAATAAGCAAACAAGCCAACCTCCCTGTTAAATCATTAGGATGTCTAGAGAAGGGTTCTGCACAGCCTCTTTCCTGAAATGGGGTTTATCCAGTGATGTTCCAGAGCACAGGGCTGGGCAATAAGAAGATGTCTCTGAACAACTGAGACCTCAGTGATATCACTGAGTAAAACCCATGTGGCAGGAGAAGATTATAGAGCTGCCATCTGGAAGAGGGAGGAGGCAACTCTGGCGTAGTCGGCACTGGGAACCCAGAGTGAGCAGCCTTCTCAGGAACCCCCCGGTTTATCCAGTGATGTTCCAGAGCACAGGGCTGGGCAATAAGAAGATGTCTCTGAACAACTGAGACCTCAGTGATATCACTGAGTAAAACCCATGTGGCAGGAGAAGATTATAGAGCTGCCATCTGGAAGAGGGAGGAGGCAACTCTGGCGTAGTCGGCACTGGGAACCCAGAGTGAGCAGCCTTCTCAGGAACCCCCCAAGTTTGCAAAGCAAAGCAAAGCGTGCTGCTTATATACCAGATTTGAGGGATGCAGGTAAAGCAAAGCAAAGCGTGCTGCTTATATACCAGATTTGAGTGGGGGGATGCAGGTTGGACTTCTCCAGCTGCCATAGACTTGGAGAACATAGAGACAAATTACCTCAATGTCCATTATAAGTATAGATCTCCCTGGGTTCCATCATACGTATGAGTACTACCTATGTACAGTACTAGGTGATATAGGGCATGAATTACAGTTGACTAAACAAACTAGTCTCAGAGAGTTGTCCAGATAGTGAACGATTGTGTATTAAAATAACTTCTTCCACTTTTAAGCAATTCCGTTTTCTTTCCTTCTACAGGCAGAAGAAATTTTGAGGCGGGAGATAGAGAAGAAAGAAACACCAGGACTATATTGCTTACTTGGAGATGTTCTTAAAGATCATTTTTACTATGACAAAGCTTGGGAACTCTCAAACCACCGCAGTGCCAGGGCTCAGCGTTCCAAGGGTCTTCTCCATCTTCGCAACAGGAACTTTAAGGAATGTGTAGAGTGCTTTGAGCGCTCAGTGCAGATTAATCCTATGCAAGTAAGTTAGCAGCAAATGCTTCATATTTATGTGCTGACTTTTAAATCAAGTGTTTACAACCTGCGACTCCTTCTGTAGCTCCTGAATCTGGCAGAACTCCATAGGCTTTAGTGGATTTTCAGGGAGAAAGGTCTTTGTTCTTCTACCAGAGTGGAGAAGCAGCAATTACAGTGATGGCAAAGCTTTCACTTCTGTTTGCTCCTACCTCCAGCTGTCCCCAGATCTGAGGAGGCATGGAAATGAGAGGAGGGTTAAAACGCGATATATCTTAAAGTCAAGATTTTAGGAGGGAAGAGGTAGAGTATGGGAGGATAGTTTGGAGAAGCAGCAGGCCAGAAGAGTTTATGTGTATCCATATACACACCACATTGGCAGCCAATACTGGATGAAGCTCTTGAGGGTGAGAATATTGTGTGCCTTTGTTTTAAGGTGTATATGCCCAGCTGTGTATGTCTAGATATGAAGTTAATCAACTTGGTTTAATTCATACTTCAGAGCTCAGTCTGTACTGTACTGTAAACAACAGAATACATCAGGTCCAAATCTAGCATTCACTGGCTGAAATCCAGTAGTAAGCTAGGGAAGGCCCACTCATGGGGATTTAGTGAATAGATTCATGGGGATTTAGGGAATCAGCTCCTTCATTCCACTGATTCATTTGGCCTGCTCTAGTTGTGACTTGCTACTGGATTTCAGCCTTTTTCATTTAATAGGATTTCAGTCTCACATCTTCCTAGGCATTGAATCTCTGCTGTATAAAGGAACATGATTATTTCCATCTCAATTGGGTGTAAAGCCTTCACCTTGAGGTGCTCTCTGAAGTCCCAGCTCCTGAGATTCAAAGCTTCCTTCTCACTGTAACAGGACATGATTTAGTTTTCAACCTCTTTATCCCTTGAGTGGTGGATTATAAGCAGACCCTAGTCTTACCTTCTGCCCCTGAGTTCTTGGTGGAGAGAGACGTGTCTGCTGTAACATGATGCTAGTGAGGAAAGGTAATGTCTGCCAGAATGTGAATCTAGCAAGGAAGTGGAAAGCATGTTCAGAATATAGTTAGGATGCAAATACAGATGAGGATGCAAATAAGGCCCAGTTATGAAAGACAAAGAAAAGCAAGACATTAGCCCTATTTTTATGTAACAAGTACACAGAATTTGAGCCAGTTCCTTCACAAGATCAGGGAAGAAGCGTGTTCCACAGGCGGGAATTTTCTTTGAAACACTTTGCATAGTGCATCCTTTCATGTTTGCCACTAAGATTCAGAAAAAAAAGAGTTGTCAGAAACATTTCTCTACTTTTAGCAATTATATAGGGCCTCTGATACTTTACAGTTGTGAGCGATTTGCCAGATCCAACCAGCATAATTACCTACGGAAGTCATGGTTTCTCTCACTCCAATTTTTTTTAAAAAATATTTCACTTTGGGCCTTCTAAAAGCTTCCTTCTGGGAAGTACAAAGATGACTTAAACATACTGCAGTTCTGTGGTAGCATACTTTTTTGGGAATAAATGGGTACATTTCCATAGAATTATCCCAGTCTTGCCTCATCTAAATAAACAGAGGCACCAAAACCAATCCCTGTCTTTTTTTTTAGGAGTGGGGTGGGGGACAGGAAGGCAGAAGCCAAATACCATTTTATTTGGGCTTTCTGATTTAACATCCAAAGACGATTCAGTTCTGTATTTCCTAATTGCTACCAGTCAGCCATAGCTGTCTCCTGTTATATGCAAAGATGCCAGATTTTCTTGCAACTTAATCTGTTGCAAACGGAGGCAGAATTCAAGACAAAGTCTGCTTACTGCAGGGCTGAGCACTTAGTGATACTTCAGAATAGCACTGTGTATCCGAACGGTGGGGAACCTCTGGCACTGCAAATGATATTGGACTACAGCTCCTGTCATTTCTAACCTTTGGTCATACTGATGGGAATTGGAATCCAATAACATTTGGAGGGCCATGAGCTCTCCATTCCGGTTTAGATGATAGCTCTGCATAATGGGTAGATGGCTGAATAGTGCTTAAATTCTCATACAGTGGGGTCTCGACTTACAAACTTAATCCGTATTGGAAGGCAGTTTGTAAGTCGAAAAGTTTGTAAGTTGAATCAGCATTTCCCATAGGAATGCACTGAAAACCAATTAATCTGTTCCGGCTGTTTTTGGTTCTTAGGTTGAGGGGCATTTCCCATAGGAACTAAGGCAAAGCCGGTTAATCCGTTCCTACCACTAGGGGCAGAATTTCTTTCTTTCCTTTTAACCTAAGATGACTTAGGTTAAAAAAAAGGAAAGAAATGAGGGAGAGAAGGAGGGAACAGACACCTTTTCAACAGAACACCCTGAAAAGCACATTTTCAGCCAAGACAAGTACCTTCTGGAAAAAACCAAGCACCTTTCAGACAACAGATCACCTTGAAAAGCACCTTTTAAATCAAGACAAGCCAATACAAGCACCTTTTGGGGAAAGGGGGGGGCAGCAAAGGAGGGAGGGAACACCTTTTAAAAATCCAAAAATCAAAAATTAAAAAAGCGCCAAAAAATAAAAATACAGTCCGTACCGCACTGTACCAGGCAATACCAGCAGTACCAGGCAGTACCAGGCAGTCTGAAGACTGTCTCCAAATCCACTCTCAAAACACTGGGAAGAGCGAGGAAGCAGATAAGAACCCTCTTCACTGGCCAACGGTTAACTGAAAGTTCAAACTTCATGCTTTCCCCACCTCAAACACGTTTTTTTTGGTTTGTAACTCGAATCTAAGTGTGCAAGTCGAGTCAGTATTTTTCTATCAGAGTGGTTTGTAAGTCGAAATGTTTGTAACTCGAGCCGTTTGTAAGTCGAGGGTTGACTGTACTTCCAGTCACTTTATACATTTCTATACTTTTCCTGAGGTATTGCATGTCACCAAGTTGGATGGTATACAAAGGTATGTATGAAATAGGTATAACTTTACACGTGTATAGAAAGCTACTTCTCTAGCAGACATTACTTCCTGTACAAGATGGAAAAATGTGTTAGGCATGCTAGTTGATTCCACACAGACTGCTAGAAGCCAAAACAAAATATCCTTCTTGGTTATTAGAAATCATGACAATTGTTGCTGGATGATTTAGCTGTAGAATTATAAACTACAGTAGTTTCACACTTGGGCAGTGCAACAAGCAGTGATTTAAAAACCAATGGAGCTGGCAGACGAGGAAATAGGAAATAGGAAAGAGGAAATAGGTAGATGCAAGACTTATTCTTGGGCTATAAACTGTTGCTTGTAGAAGCAAAACGGCTGTGTGTAGTCCAGTCCATTCTAAATACAAAATGTACATTTTCCTACTCAGAATCTGGATTAGAATGTGTATGTCGTTATTTGCCCTAAGGGACATCTAGCTCTACATGTAGAAATCACTGTTTTAAATAGAGTTATACAGTATTTTTGTGTGACCGAGTATTAAGTCAGTCTCAAAAACTGAGACTGCACAGCGGATTTCTTTTTATTGGGCTAATTTCGTTCTGCATTTTTTTTTACCTTGAATAGTCAGTCAGTGAGGCTACACATTCCTTTAACATAAAGGATGCCATTAAATTTTTACAGAATTAACACATCTTGGCTGCTTGTTGAGGCTGATTCACAGACTCAGTTTTGTCTCCACGCTTGGCTGTCTGAACTTCCCAAGGGACCATATTTGTGCGAAGAGTGTCTTTTTCAAAGTAGCATCTCTGGAAACAACAGTCTCTTCCTAGTGACAAAGAGAAAACATTCATCGCCCTCATTGTAGGGTGCTGTGCAGACAAAGGGAACTCTGCTAGGGTTTCAGTTTGAGTTATTTTATTATATACCTTCTAATACAATGTAACTCCAAAAAAATAATAATAGGCGTTTTCTATCATAGGGCAGAAGTAGTTCTTCAGAAAATAACAAACTTTGGATGGTATATATTGTCTTATATTTGTCGTTTACATTTCAGTTGGGCGTGTGGTTTTCCTTGGGTTGCGCCTACTTAGCTCTGGAAGATTATGAAGGCGCTGCTAGAGCCTTCCAGCGCTGTGTGATCTTGGAGCCTGATGTACGTAAAGTCACTATGAGATGACACTCCTAATGTTGCTTTTGATATAGATATACTTTTTCTACATTAATTTGTGCATATTTTGTAGCATAGCTTATTAATAAAAAAAATCTCTGCAAAGCTATTTGAAACATAATGTGACTGTCTCCATTTATATAGGATAGTGGTGGGGATGCTAAAACTGTTGCTCCATATGAAGTAATATTTACACTGCTTGGGAGGGAGATTGATGGTGTTTTTATAAAATATCACCAATTCACAAATATTCTGCTTAGTATTCTTTTGGGACAGTGTGCTACTTTACTGTCCAAGAATAATTTTTACACTCACACTGATTTTATATCAGCCGACTTGATTTTGTGTAGCCAATATAGTGATGTTTGCTGGGGAGGATGGGAATTGTTATCCAGCACATGCAGATGATATTGGGAAGGGAAAGGCTGTTTTCGAATGTGTCATATTCCAAACTGGTGTACCAAAGCTAAGCAGTAGAGTGACATATACTTGGAAGCTCTCATCTTTAAATTCAAGAGGACTTGCAAAAACTAATTTTGGCTACAGTGTGCCTGTTCACTGGATTTCAACAATAAAAATTTTATAAAGTTCAATAATTTCAATAATGAACTTCTTATAAATGTTAAAGCTGTGGAGACACAAATCAGTGTTTGTAGGTAAACATACAAGAGGGTGTTTTCGGAGGTTAAATATTTATCTGTACTGCTTAACATTAACCATTCTTTTTGTGCTTTGTTTTGACTGCAGAATGCTGAGGCTTGGAACAATCTCTCCACGGCATATATCAGATTAAAACAGAAGTAAGTACATCAAAGGGATTAATTATGGCTGCTTCCAAAGCAAACAGTGCTGATTTCCTCTCAAGCCATTCCCCTATAGCTCCTAACTCTTGGACATGCTGCCTCTGTCATCTACATTGAGATCCCCTCTAGCCCAAGCCTCCCCACTTGACCTCCCACTTTGAGTACAGTTAGAAAGTTAGAGATGGTATCATTAAAAAGCTTTTGAGAGGAAAAACGACCAATTTTGACCCTACCTAAGCCAGAAATGTTACAGTCTAGAATTTATTACACAATATAAAATTAATTCCATACTTCCACATGCCTTTAAATGTGCAAGAGAGGACCCTGCTCGACACAGTGTCCCTTTATAGAGAAATGAGGCACACAGTACTGTGAGACTGGGCTTTCTTCATAGTGTTGCCCAAGCTATGGAATTCTGTCTCCAATGGCGTGCATTTTCATTTCTAGGGTCCATTTCTGAGCACAGTTCAAAGTGCTGGTTATGACATGTATGACTTGTATAGGCTGTCTGAAGGACAATGCCCAGTCTTCAGAGAAAGCCTTTCTCTTCATCCCACCCCCCTCACTGCCATGTTTAGTAGGACATAATTGAGGTTTCTGGTTCTTAGTTACTCTTCCCAAATAATGACACTCCCTTCCAAGGAAAGCTAAATTGGCTGCTTTCTGGTTGTGCCATTACTGGCACGCAAAGACCTTTTGATTCAAACAGACTTTTAGGGACTTTTAATGGGGGTGCATTACTTTTTAAAATTATTCTTGCGTGATTAAAATTAATTTTTATTGATTGATTGATTGATTGATTTGATTTATACCCCGCCCATCTGGTATATTCTACCACTCTGGGCAGCTGAGAAGTTTTTAATTTGATTAGTATTTTTATACACTCATTCTTGGAATTGTGTTTTAGTGTTGTATTTTACTATGGTATTAATTGTCTCTGTTCTTTAACCAAGTTGTGAGACATCTCGGGTCTCATAATTGGAAGAAAGTCAGGATATAAATAAGGTGAAATAAGACTGTAGGTTGTCCAAGAATCCTTTCTGCATTATTCTAATGATAGCATTGTCATTAACGAGGGGGATTTTAATTGGCTGCTTTGTTCATGTTTCTATTGAAGGTAATAGGAATCTTTTTTTAAATTTCTCTGTTTTCTGGGGGGGGTTTCCACTATTTCTGTTGATGTGCAAATGGCAGAGACTGTGGCATGTAAATATTTAAATACAAAACTTCTCAGTAGCACCCTACCATCCATCCAAGCGAGGTGGTACTTCCTCTTGCCCAGATGCAGGCCGCTTCTTCAGCGTAATTCTGTTGCAAAGGAAATTCAAAGTAATCTGAATTCCCTCCCTTTTAAATGATTTATATTATGCTTGTCTTCAAATATTAAAGGTAAAATTGGCCATTTAGTACTAGGTTTGTGGGAGCAGTTGGGTATCAACCTGCTTAATAGGACATTTGTTCTGGTTTTTGCTGGAGTGAGCTGTTAATAAATCTTGTAAAAGGACCTGGTATCTTAGTTATGTGTGCTTTTTCAGTTTTTGAAGAGATACTTTTTTGGCAAACCAGTTGTTTCAGAAGTCAGTGCTGTAAGTAAGTTATCAAGATAATTTTTGTTTGCTTGGATGGTGTCCCATAAATCTTCTGTCAAAAAGAATGGAACTTTTAAATACAGGGAAGAAAAATGTTGTTTTTTTTAAAAAAAATCTCCCCTTCCCCTCAATCTTTTTGAGCACTTATCTGCTTTCTGGAAACAAACTGAAAATGAGAAACCCAACAGGGAATTGAAAAAGCTAAAGGCAGGGGAAACAAATTGCTAAGAAAGTGCATTGAACCAAAAGCTATAAATAAGTTGAAGAGGCTTTTTGACGTATTTATGGAACATATAGAATGAAAGACACAGTTGCTCCAGAGAATGCAGAGGACAGAAAATAGATAGAAAGAGATATCAACTTGCTTGTTCAAGTGTCCTTTTCAGAATAGATGTCCTTTTCAACACTTTGGAATATTTATGTAGAAGAATCCTGGAGAAACTTTGTTGTTACATCTCTCTGTGGGCACTGGCACTGAACACTACAAGCGGACATTTTTCCAGTCCCCTACAGTCGTAAAACCCTGGAGAGTATTTTAATTTCTGTCCCAGGTACTAGTATAAAACTACCTTGGGTACAGTTGTGGTCGAAAGGGTATCTTTCTTGGCTCCATCTGTTTTTCTTGTAACATCAGTCTTGATTGTAGCTTATTAGCCATTTGATCCAAATGACTGTTGATCCCAGATTTGTTTTGTAGAACATTTGGGTTTAGCATTCATCTGCAAACCTATGTCATCGGAGGCAGGCAACATGCAAACCTCAAGAGACTCAAGGCTGACATCAACTGCTATCAGATATCTGAAAGTGAATGTGGGCAGGATGATTAGAAAGAGAGGGTTAAGTGTGAATTAGTGGGAGTGTGTTGTTGCAACAGCCAAGATACCAACAATAGGGTTGTAGAAAGAGAGGGTTAAGTGTGAATTAGTGTGAGTTGCAACAGCCAAGATACCAACAATAGGTTTTTTTGAGTGTTCAGATGCCTTAATCTATAACTCCCATTGCTTCTTCTTACAGTAGAATTGCAGTCTTTTTCTTCTTAGTTCACAACTTGAAACGGGCTAGACACCTGCTGATATCCAGTGTGGTGTACTAGACAGAATAACTGACTAGGATTTATAAGACCTGGGTTTTAATTCCTCCACACTATATAAACTCACAGGCATGTGAGTGACTGAGTAAGACCAGTCCTTAAATATCACAACTTGTATTGAGAGCCCTACTATGGTCACTATGTCATTTCCAAAATAGTACATAACACACAAACACACACACAGAGATGGGCACATGGGCATGTTATAGCCTTTGTGCTTGGCACAATTATTTGTATCTAGCAAACATTGCTCTGTAAATTGGTCCTCGATTCTGATATTTAGCCTGGACAGTGGTGGCTGGGATGCCTGCTAAGGTAATCCTTAGCATCCACAATATATAAAACCAGTCCAAGCCTTGGTCTCTTCTGTGGCACCAGTTTCTGACATTGATTCTATAATCTTGATACCCACTTAATATCTAGAATTTCTAGAAGCCTAATTCCTATGGAACTGAAGTACATTCATCTTGCTGCTGCTACAAGATGAGGTCACAAAGCCATTGGTTTCATTCATATCCTACATTGGTTTATTTTTGTCTCCTTCTATTAAACTCCCTGGCCCTGTCCTCTTCTGTTAGTTTTTCCATCTGCACTAATATTGCTTGAATACTGTCAGTTTGATCTCTTTTGAACAAGGTATGAAATAAATATTTTTTAACAAATCCACAGCTGAAGGTTCCCTCAGCTGGCCACCAGTAAAGAGCTCACAATGGACTGGATAATGAAAAAGAGAGGACTGAAATGAACATATGAATGTCATTTTGATCCAAATGCTTATTTGGATGAACAAATGCATATGGGAGATGCTCCTGCCCAATACTGCCTCAGATTGGTAATTTTAAAAGCAATACTGTTTTCATAACACGGCAGAAGATTACGGAATATAGATATACTGTACAGGGCATTTTAGCAGTTAATTGCTCAGTTTTCTCTCATGGCATTGGTTGCCACTGTTTTTGCTGTAGGACAATATAAGACATTAAACCTGACAGAACAGTTGTCCCTTCATCACAGCAACAGTGACTTGTACTTAACACTAATTGGTCTAATAAGGGAGCAAAAAAAATCTTCTTTTTAGTTATGTGGTATCAGAAATAACTTATAACCCATGTGTATTCTGCCCAGTCTCCCTTACTAGTGCCAGGTGGCTGTGCTTTAGTGGTCTGGATCCATCACTGTCTCTTCTTATCTAGTATTCTGCAGGTCTGAGGTCTCTTCACTGTGTTGCCTTCCCTCACCTTTTGCATTGCTGGGACATTCTCTCTGAGTGATCCTTGTTTAAATCAGATCTGAAAGCTCAGTTAAGAATTAAAAAGTCTCCTGTATGCTTTGCATGGTGGTTGTCAGTTCACCGTGGTGCGGCTTGATAACAAGGCTATTTCGAGTCTCTGGAGCTTCTTTCTGGTGCTTGATTCGGCCTCTGCAGTCTCCTCTTGAAGGAGTGACACTGCCTGGTTTGTCTGGTAGTGACATGGTCTGCTCCCGTGAAACCTAGATCGTTCCGTGTTCTAGAGATGAGGGCATGGTGGTAGTAGTCTTATGGCTACAGGGTGTTTTAGTGATTGGCCTAGAAGAGTGTCTTTGAGTGATACACTGATTTCCATGTGTTTATGGGACACTGCAGTGAAGAGGATGCCTCTCTAGAACTCCGATTCTTTGATCTGTGCCATCACATGGGCCACACACTGTTTCTCTGCTACAGGTGTAGTCTTTTGACTTGGATGTGTTCTTTCACCTAGGTAGATGTGTAGCAAGCTGTTTCATTCCTGCAGACCCATCTGAACTCTAGAAATTTTCGAAACAATATGTGTGACTGCACAGAGGACCATCCAAAGAGCCATAGTTCCAAGCTATGTTTTAACAAATACTTTCAGTAGTTATATAATTATTTTCTCTAAGGCTGGCTTAAAGTACGTTTCACAGAAAAATGCTGAACAGGATGATTTTCTCTCTTTTTTGGTCTCTCCCCCCCCCTCCATGATAGAATAGATTTTCAGTAACCAAATAATTTTTACCTGTATCAGTTATCCAAAGTCAAGTATGGGCAACCTGATACAGCAAACATTTTTAGTCTGCAGCTCACAGTTATAGCCAGCATAGCCAGAGGTGAGGGATTATGAGAGCTGCAATCCAAAAACATTCTCCACCTTGCTCAAAAGCAAGAGACCTGATGTGGAAGAACCTGTAACATTGTCTTGACTATGTCGGAATCCCATCACAGGAAAATTTGGGGGAAACCGCATACATAACCCAGTAGTATAATTTTTTGCTCCTCTGGGTAGACGTTCTGCACAGTGCTGCCTATGAATGACAGACCATCCTATTGGTACTCTTTCACTGAACATGGTGTCAGTAGGGTGGGGAGATCTAAACAGCTTTATTCACATGCTGCTTTCTGTCATATGGAATCACACTACAGGGAAGCCCCTCCCAAATTTCTGTGCGCAGGAGAGCCCTCTTGCTAGAAAACAGTGCTGAAGCCTGCAGGCAGCCTTCACTAGCATAGTGCTGTCCAGATGTGTTGAGCTGCGACACCCATTACAGGAGTGAAAAACAAAAAAACTAATAGGTCTGTTTTCAGCACGAGCCTTTGCGGATTACATCCATTTCTTCAAAGATATCATGAGAATTGTACTCTAATACATCTGGAAGGCTAGGGAAGGTTAGGGAAGACTGGTCTGTGGTGTAAAGATTGCTGTGGTAAAAAGTGGGAATCATCAATTTCTCATCAAATGGGAGGGGGGCTCTTAGTTGCCAGGGTTGTGTTTTATGTTTTCTAAATTGTATTACAGTCTAAGATCTCAAGCACGTTTGATGGGGAAAATCCTTAGTGGAAAGGAAAATGCTTCTGGGTTTTACTTTGTTTCTTTTCTACCAGAATCAAAGCATTCCGGACTCTTCAGGAAGCTCTCAAGTGTAATTATGAGCACTGGCAGATTTGGGAAAACTATATTCTCACCAGTACAGACATTGGAGAATTTTCAGAAGCTATTAAAGCTTATCACAGGCTTATGGATTTGCAAGAGAAGTATAAAGATGTTCAGGTGAGAGGTTTCGGGTTTTTTAAAAAGTGTCTCATGTGGTTTCGGGTGGGTGGGGAAAAGTCCAGTTTAAGGCATTTAAGCCATACTTCCCATTTTGCAAATAAGTTGCAAGACATATTTATTTCTGTTCTGAAAGATGTTAACTGCAAAAACTGCATGTTCATTTTATCCTTGCCTGGGATAGGTTTGGTTTTTTCTTAAGAACTTAGCTATTTTTGCTAGGACGCCATTTTGGAAATATTTGATTCTTCTTTGTGGTCTCCATGAATCAAAAATATGCACACTTCTGCACCTGCACAAAAACAATAGTTTTTATTTGTGTGCTCCCGAGACAAACAGCTTAGAAAGTTTCACTTCAAATTTAACACGTCAAACTTATATTCAGTCAACCTTAGCACCATTTTACAACACATGGTGCTAAGGTACGGCACCAGTGATTGTATATTTGAAGGTCAAGGGAATAAATGTTTCCCCTTGCATAGATTATTGGTTAATTGTAGTAAATTTGAAAAGTAGACTAAAAGTGACTGTAAAAGAGACATTACAACAACTGTCAGGTCTTTGTCTAAGATTAAATTTGGAAAAACCTCACCTTCAAACAAAATCCAATACATTGGGGTGATTTTGGATTCAGAAAAAGAGAGCATTTCTGCCAAATGACAGAATGGACAAAATAATTACATTGGCATCAGAGTTCACATCATGCAAGAAAATCAGGGTCCATACAGTTCAAATATTACTAGGCTTGATAGCATCCACAATAGGATTGGTAGTTTATACATGCCACACAATGAGATTTTTTCAATCTTGGTTCCTATAGTTCTTCTCCGTTGTCTCTGTGAATGCACACTAATGGCATTCACACCCGCACAGAGTGATCTCTGAACCTTCTAGAGCTCAGGCACGTGGTGCCGGGACCTGCCAATAACCCCACCCCGGGGTTCAGGCACGCGGTGCCCCATGCTGCCAATAACCCCGCCCCAGCACCGAGTGCCTCAGTTTCTGCCGCCACTGTTGCAGCATCTCAGAGCTATCACGAGCGTTTTTCCTCTCTGTTCCTTCTACTGATCAACCTTCCGGTTTTACGACTTCAGATTGTTGACGATTCTTGGGTTTCGTGAGTTGTCTTAAAGCATATAACTGCTTTATTTCTTGTTTTGTTTGGACTTATGGCCTTGTCAGGCCCCTCCTGTCCGAATAAAATCCCCCTCACAGACAGACACTCCCAGTGTTTATTTTGTTTGGGTGAGGAACACCAACCAGCCTTGTGCGCTGTGTGTAAAAGTTTTACCAAGCCGGCTTTAAAACAAAGGCTCCAGCGCTTACACTCCTTTTTGTGGGAAAAATCTCTTTGCCTGTCCTGGGAGCCACTAATGGAGCCACTGCAGTCTGCGCCAACCGACACTTTGTCGGCTGTAGCTTCTTTGCCCAAATGGGCTAAGAAATCAGCAAAACGAATTTGGATTCGGCTGCTGCCCACTTATAAAGGTATCAACAGTGGTCTCAATATTACGGCTCCTATTCTCCATCACTTCCTCAATATTGACAGCATTCAGGCATCTATTTCTACCCGGAGAGCAGGCCTGAACACGACCCTTTGCAGCGGACTCATATGCCTGCAATGGACAAGCCCTTGCCTCCCGTCCCAGTGGCTCAAACTCACTTGAGTGCCAATGCCTACACATGACCCCTCTGCTGGCCCAATTCCAGCCACCACTTTACCCAGTATAGTAGACAACATTATGCCTGAACAGTCCGCTCAGGCCCATGTTTCTTGACCAGACCCTTGATCCCGGGAGTTTACTCCATCTCCAGGGCAAGAGGAAGCTTACACTTCTGATTCTGAAGCTTCACTTGAAGATTCTCCTCTGGACCTTCCCACACCGGATTCTGATGTAGTGAGTAGTCACCCACCTTCTCCCTTAGAGGATTACACGGCTTACTCGCACTTGATTCGTCAGATAGCAAAGGCAATGGATTTGGCAGTAGATGAACCAACCACAGAAGAAATAGACAAGGTGTATGAGGACATTACAAAAGATCAGTCCCCTCCGCTTCGCATGGCATTTATTTCTTCACTTCTCAAACTTGCAAAAGAACCTTGGAATAAGCCTTCTTCAGAGGCGGTGAGTTTTTTTCCAACATCCATCACTCAAATGTTTTCTGTGTGGATTGAAAAATTTGCCCCCCCCCTTACAAGGCACCCACTTTTCAATGATCCCTCCAGTTAGTCCTTAACAAACTCATGGGTCCTCCTTTTGAACCGCTGGCCTCTGAGTCCGACAAATTACTCTCACTAAAAACTGTGTTCCTTCTCTCTATAACCTCTGTAAGGTGGGCAGTGAACTTGCTACCCTATGAGTTGATACACCCTTCCTCCAATTTCACGCAGACAAAGTGACCTTGTTCCCCGACCTTTCTGTTCTTCCTAAGGTGGCCTCAACTTTTCACCTGAACCAGCCGATTGTACTCCCCACGTTCTTTCCTTCCGCCACCTCTAGCCTAGAGCGGGCTTTCCACTCTCTGGATGTTAAAAGAGCCCTTGCAGACGATGTGTCTCACTCTGCTGCTTCCCACTCATCCAAGCGTCTGTTTGCCTCCTTCTATGGACAATCAAGGGGACCTTCAGTCACCCCACAGACAATTTCTCGATGGATAGTCTCCGCAATCCACTTGGCTTATGAATTAGCCAAGACCCCTACCATGTACTGTATGAGCCCATTCCACCAGGGCTGTGGCTTCCTCTATGGTCTTCATCAGAGGAGTGGACTTGACAGACATTTGTAAAGCAGCCACATGGGCTATGCCATCCATGTTTGCAGTTCACTATCACTTGGATATCCGAGGGTGATGTCAGCCATGTGGTGCTGGCATCGGTTCTTTCGTGACGCCCCTCCGCCTGGTAGGTAAGCTTGCTAAACACTTATTAGTGTGCATTCACAAAGAAGAAAAATTGGTTATTTACCTGTAACTTTGGTTCTTCGAAGGGACGTGGTGGCGCTGTGGGCTAAACCGCAGAAGCCTATGCTGCAGGGTCAGAAGACCAGCAGTCGTAAGATCGAATCCAGGCAACGGAGTGAGCTCCCGTCGCTTTGTCCCAGCTCCTCGCCAATCTAGCAGTTCGAAAGCATGTAAATGCAAGTAGATAAATAGGTACCATCTCGGTGGGAAGGTAAAACAGCGTTCCCTAGTCACGCTGGCCACGTGACAATGGAAAACTGTCTTCGGGCAGGCGCTGGCTCTATGGCTTGAAAAGCGGGATGAGTGCCGCCCCCTAAAGTTGGACATGACTGGACTGAAAATGTCAAGGGAAATCTTTACATTTACCTTGGTTCTTCAAGTGGTTATCTGTGAATTCACACTTCCCACCCTTCCTCCCTGGTAGCCATCATATGTGCCTCACGGCATGCTGCGCAGCGGCGGACAGTTCTATGGAACTGATGCAGTCGGTGCAGGGGCAGCGTGGGGGGGAGGTCCCAGCATCATGTGCTTGAGCTCTAGAAGGTTCCAAGACAACTTTGCACAGGTGCGAGTTAACCTATTGGTGTGAATTTACAGATGACCATTCGAAGAACCAAAGTTACAGGCAAGTAACCTTTTCCCCCCAACAGCATGAGAGACAGTGCTCAAAGAAATCTAACAGTCACAGAGGAGTTAGCAATTCAACTTCAGTGGTTGCAAAAAAGCCTAAATATATTGATGGACATACCTGTCAAAACACCTCAACCAGGATACTGGAGAAATCATATCTTGATTTTTTTTTCTGTCTTCGTAGCGCATTACATTTTCTGTCATTGTATATCAGTTATACTCCTTGCATATTAAAGGAAAGCACAGTAAGGTCTCTGTGGCATCCGCCCAGGTCATGAATATTAATGTGCTATATGCATGACAGTCTCTTTACTAAATAAAGTCTTCTTACCAGATTTCATAACATGAGGTTATCTCTTCTGAAGTTATAGAACAAAGCAATAACACAGTACTAGCATGCTTTTACTAATGCAAGTACCTTCTCGTGTTTTCTGTTGTGAGATTTTATTTAATATAATTCACTCCATCTGCGGTGAACAGACGGCAGTCCTCCAGACATTGTTGGACTGCAATACCCATCAGCTTTAGCTACAGTAGGCAGTGATAGGAAATGGTGTGAGTTGTAGACTGCCTTGGGTCCTTTTAAGGAAAAAGGTGGGGTAAAAATAAAACAAATACATCAATAAAATAATCAAAATAAATGAACAGTATCTACAGGGCTTCGCTTTGCACATGCATCTGCGCACACATACCCACCTCATTCATACCATGTCTACCAAACTTATTTTTTGGCAAGGAATAATTTGCGGTTCAAAATAATCACCTTTGACAAGAGGCACTAGTCACTTGAATGATCAAGCACTGCAATCAGTAGTGCGGGTTGCCCTACATCTTAACAAACAATGGGCCACTAAAAATCAAGGAATTGATGTAGTTTAGATATTAATATTCTGGAGCTTGCAATGTTTTGCTTCACTACCATCCATGACTACCTTTTCCAACATGGTGCCTCTCAGCTGTCTTTGACCACAAGTCCCATCATGCCCTCCTTTAGGGTCTATGCTAGCTTGAGGATATTGGGGAGCTGTAGTCCAGGACAGCTTGACAGCACCAAGTTGCTTTATAGTTTTATTTTCGGAACAGTTGTGAATGCATGAATGTCTGCTCAACATAAGACTTAATAGAATGCAGACCTGAGCAGAGGAAACACCACAATGTAATCTTCTCATATAATGGGCTTGTTATGTAGTTTATGTCTGGAGGGTTTTGTAATGGAAAAGCAAAATGTGTTTCCCTTTTGAATTTCAGATGGTTATTTCAAAGCTGAGGAGGAAGCAGAATTAATAAGTTCAGGAGACACCTGTGCTTGCTAATGGCCATTTCCTTGTTTTTGAGCCTTCACATAGGGAGCTGTATATACATGGTATCTTATATACTGGTGGCTTATCATGTGACAACGGATCTCTAAAACCATTTCCCCTTCAGGAATTCTGTCAATCTTGCTGAGCATCAAAGCAGCTTGGGGACATGTTTTGACAGGCTGAATTTTATATCAAAGGAGCTTTGTAAATGTACAGTGATATCTAACCACAGCTCAGATGTTGGAAAGTATAGACTCTTGTTTGTTTTTTATAAAATTAGTGTGGGGCACAAAAAAAATTAAAATGAGTTGATGGAATCCTCTTTGATTCTTTGTAGCTACCATATGTATCAGAGAAATACATATAAAAAGAACATAATCTAATCCAAAACTCCTAAGTAAGTTTTTAATATGTTATTTTCTGATGCTGTCAAGTTGCCTCCAACTTATCGTGACCCTATGAATGAATGAGTGACTTCAAAAATGTCCTGCCCTCAACAGCCCTGCTCAGCTCTTGTAAACTCAAGGCTGTGGCTTCCTGTGTGGAGTCAATCCATATTCCTATTTCCTCTTCCCTTCTGTCTTCAACTTTTCCCTATAGAAAGACATGTTTTTGTATATATTCATAAATCCACCACTTACGAAACAAAGTATGGCGTCTTAGGTCTAGGAACTGTCACCAGTAGATGATAAACCATTTAGAATGTTTGAGTGAATCTAATCATTCTAAAAATTTAATTTGCCATTATCTTTAAAGATATATAGTACTTCATCTCTTTGCCTCTTTGGGTGCATTAAATGTTTTATTAAACTTAATGAGATTGCTGATGCTTTTCAACTGAAGCTCCTACAAAATGAACTCATGTTGTACAAGCATTGTCAGCTTCACTAAATGCTATACTAATAATAATTATATTCTTCCTAAGGTGCTCAAGATACTAGTAAAAGCAGTGGTGGATGGAGTGGCTGCTCGTAATGGAGAATCGGCAGTTGGGTTAAAGGGAAAACTGCAGACACTCTTTGGCAGAGTGACATCTAGAGTGACAAGTGATGGGGAAATCTGGAGACTGTATGCAAGACTGTATGACAATGGGCAGAATGATAACCCTGAAGAGATAGACAAGGTAAGACCTGCTGATAGGATGTGGCTTCTATGTCTGCAGAGATAATTGACTGCATCCAATATATGTGGGCTTTAGTATCAGTTGTTGTTTTGTAACAATTTCTCATGGTCACAAAAAATACTTTGAATAAAGTTAGGGCAATTTTGTTTTTCATCTGACCGGCAAATGTAGATTTTTATATTATATTGATTGTTAGAAAGTAGGAGAAGACCTGGCGGCAGGAAGCAACAGTGGGAATACGTAGACTGTTAAGGTTGGGAAAGAGGAAATATAGACATCAAGGCTGAGGTGGAATGTAGAGTTGTTGCCTTTTTTGAATTGTGAGGCATTTATTCCTGCAGGAATGCACCTCTCAGAAGATTGGAGCCGTTTAATGAAGTAATAGGCATCCATAACTATCTCTGAATTGCATTCTTTAATTTTAATGGGTGCCACTGAGAAATTCTGCACTGAGTTACTAAAAGTTTCTTTTAAGTAAGAGCTAGCGGGCTGGGCAGCTCAGTGGGATAGACAACTGACTGCAGAGCCAGAGGCTGGGAGTTCAATTCCTCACTGTGCCTCCAAGGAAAAGAGCCAGCCGATGTGGCCGTGGACCAATTACACAGTCCCATATTCCCCCAGAAGGGGAGATGGTAAACCACTTTTTTGTACTTTCTACCTAGAAAACCCTGAAAAGAATTACTATAAGTGAAAACTGACTTGAACTCTCTCTCTCTCTCTCTCTCTCTCTCTCTCTCTCTCTCACACACACACACACACACACACACACACACACACACACACAGTGGAGATGTGCATTAGCACTAAATTTGTATTCAGCATTCAGAATTTTAAAAATTCAGAATTTAAAAAATTCAGAATTTCCAAATATCCGGAACTCCATTACAGACGATACAAATACTATATAGTCATTATGTTCCCCTTAAAACACACACAAACAGGCAAAACATTTTAAAGAAGTTCCCTGTGTCCTCTGACACCATCCCAACAATTGTGCCAAACAATGAGAGTGTACACCAACACCTGCCTCTGTGTAAAGGTAAAGGTTCCCCTTTAGTCCAGTCGTGCCCAACTCTAGGGGGCGGTGCTCATCCCCGTTTCCAGACCATAGAGCCAGTATTTGTCCGAAGACAGTTTCTGTGGTCACGTGGCCAGCGCAACTAGACACGGAACACCGTTACCTTCCCACTGTGGTGATACCTATTTATCTACTCGCATCTGCGTGATTTCGAACTGCTAGGTGGGCAGGAGCTGGGACAAGCGATGGAGGCGCACTCCATCATGTGGATTCGATCTTACGACTGCTGGTCTTCTGACCTTGCAGCACAGAGGCTTCTGCAGTTTAACCCGCAGTGCCACCACGTGCCCTACCTCTGCCTAGGTATTGTGAAATAACTGCAATGGGCTTACTGATTGAACCCTGAACAGTGAGAATGCCAACAGGAAATGCCAGCAGCCTTGGGGAAACAGAAGACTAGGTGGCACTGGTGGGCAAATACCCTGAGCAACACTTCCAGACAGATTGGACCAGCAGAAAAGCCTGTAGTGGGTGGGAACTGTGCCAACAGCATGGGGCACAGCACAGTTGAGTGACTCACTGACCACGGTCTTGGAGTAGCAGTTGGAAGAATGAAAGAGGCAGAAGGAAAGGACAGCAGGCTGAAGCATGGCATGTTTAGTACTGTGAGGAGAGTGCTATTCTCTCTAACTTAAAGATGATATCAGGGATATCTGTATCAAGCCCAGCAATGGTAGTTGATCTTAAGGAAAATAAGTTTTTCTACAGATGTAGTTTCCAGGTGTGAGTGCTGTGGACTGACAGTGTCCTCTGCCTGAGAGAACATTCTCTCTCTTGGCACCCTAGCTGATGGGCAAGGCAGCAGTCCTGCCGCCATCCTGGCCAGACCTCCTCAAGCAGACTCCTTCTCAACCCAGTAAGACAAAGACGAGGGATCCAGCTCTTTCAGCTTGCAGGACTCCTACCTGTGCACTTCTGCCTCTGCCATGTCCTTTCTCTGGAGGATCTGCCCCAGAAAGCTTGCTCTGTTGTTGCAGGGGTGATGGACTTGGACTCTAGGCTTCAACTGCTGGTACAGTCACTTGTAAAATAGACCACCTGTACCCTGGTAACTACTGCTGTACCAGTTGCCTAACCCACCCACCTCAATGTAAATCTGGCATCACTCTGCAACTAAGGGTCTCATTTGGAGTGGCAGTTGGAAATGGGGTGCCAGTTCTGCCAAAAGCCTATGGAAACCAGTGTTCTCCACCAGAAAGAATGACTGGTCATCTAGGACTATCATCTTCTCTAGGTGACCAGTAATCCTGACAGTATGCTGATGCCATCCCTGTCCTTCTCTGTCACATTGGCTGTTTGGGAGAAAAGGGCCTTCTTCACCATCTTTTTTGGCCCCTTGGCTGCCCCGGATGGATTGCACAAATTTATTTATTTATTTATTTATTTGATTTTTACCCCGCCCCTCTAGACCATGTCTACTCTATGCAAAGTCATTTCTGCAACATGTCTGAGGTTCACTCATATCAATTTCACTTTTCCTTCTAGCAAGCAAAAACCTTTCTAATCTATAGAAGTAAATGGGATTCCAGATATTAGGATATTTTATACAGACATTCAGAATTATCAAGTTTGGATTAGGATATATTTGGAACTATCTGAATATGGCATTGTTCGATGTATTCCAAATGCTCCCAAATCCAAATGCACACCCCTAGTGAATAGATTCCTGCTTCAATTGCCTTTTGGGCTTCAAAAGGTTGAAATGTTATCTCAAGGCAGCAAAACTCAGAGGAAAAGAAGATTTTCAGTCATCAGTCTGCTAAAAGCTAGTGCAGTGTGTACAGCAGTGTGGGATCACTTATTAAACTGTTCCACAAGGTCAGCCTGCTCCTTCCACACCACCTCCTGATACATAAATACTACACTAGAGATGTGTTACTGTTTGCTAAGAGGTGCCCTCTTCCAACATATGCAGAGGCTGGATTCAAACATATAAACTGGCCAACCAGTTTATAGGAAAAAATAGCAAAGATAAGAGAATAGAGGCTTGTAAGGGAGCTAGAGAAATTGGAGCCTGGCAGAAAGCAGGAATAAAAAGAACATAATGAGTGAGATGAGAAAAAATAGATAGGCAGAAAGGTGGGGGACATGACAAAAGATTAGTAAGAAAGAGAAAAGGCAAGAGAAAAAGATTTGTGCATTTCGTATTATACTGTTCTTTGCTGACATGTTAGTGATGCTTGGTGTGTCCAGCATAATGTTGTTGCTATTTTGAACAGTTTGATTGTTTGCGCTTAAACAAGATATATTGTTCCCTTTCAACAACATTATAAATTTTTATACAAAACTCTGTATTTCTTTATGCCCCCTCTACTTTCCGTAGAAGAGATGGGTTTTTTCCCTCCTAAAAGTTGTATATTCCCTGTTGTTAATTGCCATTGTCTTGGTTATTAGTTCTACTAGATACTCACAGTTTGAGAGGTAACATGGTATTTTTCACTACGCTGAGACATCTTATTAGGAAACTTTGGCATGTAAGAATAGAAACTAGTAAACAGAATTAGCCTTTCTAAATGGAATTTCCAGTCTAAAACATCAGAATGTTTCAATTGTATTTATGTCTCTTTTTATCCCCACTGTCACATTATAAAAGCATTCTTGGCTCGTGGGCTGAAACAATTTATGGAGGCAGCATTGCCAAACTAACAAAGTACGGACATGATCAAAGTATAAATCTAGAATTGTCACAATCATGCCATTCTCTTACTTGATTATTGCTTGATGGTGATTTTACTTTTGATCACATTCATGAAATTATATCTGTATTTATTGATACAGTTGGCAAAGAATATTTTAAAAGCCCAGTGTCGTTCATGAATTCCTAATCATACCTTATTTGAACTATCAAGAAAGGTTGCAAGTATTTGATTATTGGTAAATATTTGATAGAGCATTTTGACATTTGATCAAGCGGCAGACATCTGATCTTCCTAGTCTCCAGTGAAGCATAGACTTACTGTAGAACAGACTACAGTAGATCTAGCTGGTTTGAAATGGAGCACTTGCTTAGCACATGTAAATAGCTGGATAGAAATCCTGTTCATTCACTGTAATTTGTGTTCTCCTTATCTGCTTTGTCCCCTTTCTCTATTTTGCTTCCACCTGATTTAAACGAGAGTGGAAAATATCAGCTATGTTTTGTTCAGTTAACATTATCTAGTGATCTACAGCAACAATATGCTAATAGTCTTTCAGATCAGTATGTGGAATGCTGTACAATCTCACAAAGACCCTTCTGTTCTTGACCCCTAAGAAAAGGTTTCCTTGCAACCAAAAAAATGGCATTCCATAGAAGCTCCCTTGTTTGTCAACATTCTATCAGATGACCTCTGTCTCCTCATTCCAGGAACTGGAATGTTCATGAACATTTAGTGATGACATACCCATTCTAAAACCATAGCTATGCTCCTTTTCATTCCTCAGTATTGCCTAACAGCTAACTGTTTAAATTTTGTTTCCAGTCATTGATGCATCAACAGAGATGTGGCATTGTTCCTCTATTTAATTTCTTTTTGCTCTACTTAAAAGCCAACAGCAGCTAGATGTCTCTTTAATATAATAAAATAACTACCCTGATGTATTTAAATATCACTGTCACTTAGACTTGATTACCAGTGTGGTATAAATTCAGTCATTAATCATTAACATATTTGTTCCACCTTTCTGTCTGTATATGAATCCTCAAGGTATTTGCAGAATAATAAATATGTTTCATGAGAGTTCCATTCAGGGAACAGGGCTTTCCCACCACCACCACCCCCAACGTCTTGCTTGCAGGTCTGTACACTACCCAGCAAAGCTTCACCTGAGGGTTAGAAGAATATCTGGAGCAATATTGGACATGGAATGAGGAGGCTGTCACAGGACGGGTAGGCATAAACCGGAGATCCTGGCAGCTAACAGTAAAATAGCAATTATAATTAAAACATCAGCATTCCAAGTAAAAACATTCTCAAACAGAAATAACCCAACAAAGTGCGCCTAGAGAGGGGAAGATTTTAACAACTCTTTAGATAAAAGGGATGCCAGAACAACATATTGACTAATTGCTTGACGTGAACCTCAGATAAACTAGTCTAGTCTTCTCCAATGGCTTCCTAAGTGTGTGTGTGTGTTTTTCCCATTTCAGGGACCTAGGACAGCCTAGACAATGGTGGCGCAGGGGGGCCAAAACATAGCATAAATTAAAATATTCAAAATCCCATGAAACCTATAATAATATTAAAGTAAAATTAGTATAATATTAATAATGTTAAAAGGCTGTTAAATTTACAACCAATTAGGAAACAACTACAACAAAAGCCTCTACTGAAAAGGCCCTTTCTCAGATCATCACCAAGCTTGCCTCTGAGGTCAGTGAAGGGCTTTCCCCAGAGATATTAAAAGCTTCTCTTCTGATTATTATTCTTGAAGTAGATATCGCAGCTTTGACTATTCTGCTTCGGGTGATCCTGCTAGATATCCGGCCTCTGACTGCAGTCTAGTCTCCTAACAGCATAGCTCTCAGCTTCTCTGACACACTCAACCCCCCTCACCATGTTAGGGTGAGGAGGATAACAGCTAGAAAAATCCGAGAGAAGGATAACTGCTAGAAAAATATATAAATGTGCATAGATATTACTGGTTTCCCAACAGAAACACTTGTATTTGTTAGACCTTGAAACTGGTTCCTCTGGAGCCACAGTTGCTCCCACTGAATATTAGCATTTACTTCGCACCTGTTCATAGGTATTAGGTGCACTTCTTGTTACCACTGTCATATAAAGTACAAATGCAATATCCTTTGCCTCCAGCTATGAACTAAGTAGTTCATCTGTTCTCCTCTAGGTTTCTGTCAACTCCTTTTTCTTGTATTCTAACACACACCTGTGTGTCAAACAAAATTTGGCTTGGATGATGATAAGCTACAACACAAATACTACAAACAGAACAGGCTGAAAACACTATTCTTTTAGCGGTAATAAAAGGATGCCTGTAATTGTGACATGGATAATCTGAAACTTATAAACAGAGAGTTGTATTTCTATATGAATGGTACTGAATTTTGGGGCAATACTCAGTAAGACATGTATGTATGTATGGATGGATGGATGGATGGATGGATGGATGATTGCATTTATACCCCACGTATCTAGTAGAACGACCACTCTCGGGCAGGTGACTACTGAGTGGAGGGGGAAACAGACCAGTGTGGGGGGAAAAGTTGAGTTGGGAGAGGAAGTGAGAGTGAGCGAGCACTGAAGTGGGAGTTGGAACTAATGCGTTTCTAATCTATGTACATTCCCTCGTCTTTAAATGAAACATGATAAAGTATAAGCTAGCCATAGCATTGCTAACTGCAAGCCGTGTAATATTAATTCCATAAAACCAACTGCAGACATATTCCCTTGGAGGAAGGAGGAAAATTGGTTAGGGGAAAGAAAGGTGGCAGAAACCCTTGTAACATACAAGCCTTGCACCCTGCAAACTGTAGTGGGCCCAAAGGAACTTCCTGAGCCAGGAAAAGAAAAGAAAAAGAAAGCATTTTAAAGCTATTTGTCAGGGTGTTGGGGGGTCTGGATCTTGTACCCTGGGAGGAGTACATGTGCAGCCCACAGCATGCATAAGCCCAGCATGGTTCCATAGCTACAGCCCTGCATTCCTTTATTTTGGCAATCCTAGGAATGATGGCAAGGAGAGCAGGAACTTTCCTGAAGATCTTAGTTAAGAAAAAGGCAACTTCTGTGAGATAAGTAAAGTAATTTGTGGGAAAGAGAGCTTTGGGGGAGGGTGACAGTGGAAGCAGATGGGTAGTGTGATTTGAGAGGATATAAGGAATTTTATGACCTATCTTGTTTCTTTATTATAAACCAACAGCTACCTTTTGGGAGAACTGAGTGCATTCTTTCATCTTTGTGATTAAGTTCAACAGACTTTTCTTAACTTTCTGAAGACAACATTGCTGAAATCAAAAGTTGGTTTTAGAAAAGGATTGGATGTGGTGTATTTTTATTTATGCATTTATTGCTCTGCCTTCTTTGCTACTGCTTAATTTGGGGGCAATTGCCTTTTATTTTCCCCATTGCATATAGTTTATGTCAATTTTTCTTTCCATACCCAATTTGGATTAAAATTCGCATTTTATTCCTGGTATACATTTCAGGCATTTATTGAAATTTACATTCCTTAAATGCGTAATGGCTCAAAATATTATAATACAAGTGTTTTCCTGCTTTCATATGCATTTAATCACTGTGACCAAGCAAAATATGGGTCACATCCATCAGTCTAGACAGATTTTTTAAAAGGTAAAAGAACTGTCTCTTAAACACGTGTTACTTATATATCTGTCATACTTGAGAGGCAATAATAGTGAAAAACATCTGTGCTACAGCTGTAGGGAAGGAAACTATCCTAAGATGGAGCAGCTAATGTATTACCAATCCATTCCTTTTTAGGGGTTACTTTAGGGGGTTTCTTAAAACAAACCGGAGATTATTTTCTAGGTTCACTTTTGTTCTGTCTTTGCAGGTATTACAGTATCTCACCAAAGCACATAAATGTGAGGTCCAGTCAAGGGACTGGGACAGAGATATTTCCTCATTTAAGGAAGTAGCAAAAGGTGCTCGAGAACTTGCTCATGGTATGTCCTACATGGAATTTTGAAATAAATTATTGTTCATACTTAGTTTAAAAGATCTTATTCCTGAAAAACTCTAGATATAAGCTATAACTACAGAGAATGGAGTGGCTGTAATTGTACTTCAAATGTAGTCCTGTTCTTGTGAAAATTTAGAAGATTTGCTTTCAGTAAAGTTAAGTAGTGGGAAGGCAGAATTATAAGCTACTTGTAACCTCTACATGTAAAAGTACTGGACAAGCTGTATTCACGTGCAGAAATTCTCCCTTGGTGTTGGAAATTGAAACTGTATTGGAAAGAAATGGATGAAAAACGTTTTTTCTTTCAAATTCCCTAGAAGCAGGGTTCCACCAACCCAAACCATTACATCAGAGGTAGATGGCTTCAGGGCTTTTTGTACTCACCTGAGCTTCCTGTTTCAGCCTTATAAAGTTTTGAATATAGCTATGGTGTTGGGTGTTTTCCTTATGATAAATGGAAATATTATATGGCAGTGTCCCACCAAGGAAGACTTACAGTGGTGTCTCGTATTATGACGTTAATTCGTTCCAGTGAAATTGCTGTAGAACAAAAACATTGTAATGCAAAATAAAAAAGCCCATAGAAACGCATTAAAACCCGATTAATGCGTTCCTATGGGCTTGATACTCACCGTCGAGCGAAGATCCTCCATAGCACGCCCATTTTCGCTGACCGTGCAGCGAGGAATCCGTACCAGAAAAGGGCAGGGAGCCATTTTTTTTACCCGGCAGCCATTTTGGAACCGCCAATCAACTGGCCGAAACTCATTGTTTTGCGAGAATCGGTTCCCGAAGCAGGGAACTGATCATCGCAAAGCGAAATTCCCCCATTGAAACCGTTGTAAAGCAGTCTTTTTTGCGATCGCAAAAAGTTCATCGTAATGCGATTTCATCGTTAAACGGGGCGCTAGTCTTGCGAGGCACCACTGTATTTATGTTTTTATCCCTCGGAGTGGTTTGCCCAGCTCTTATGTAAACATTTCTTTCATTGTGGCCTGTCAAAAAATTAATTGCTAGGAGTAATAGGTAACTTACTAAGAGAGGATTATGCCATTGTAACTAATAGAAGACTCAAATCTCACACAGATGCATACCTGGTCTTTGATATGCAGATACTGTTAAAATTTCCAAATGGGCAGCCGTGTTAATTCTGTTGCAGCAAAACCAGTGAAGATTCTGATGATGATGACCACTCTTTGTGGTCATTGTTGAAATTATACTAACCAGGTTTCATTGTTTAATTTTGTCAACTACCAAGAATAAATTGGATACTAAAGTAGCGGCTGATGCTGAAAATGGTTGCAGTTCACCTGGTTTTACACTTTCCATTTGCACAGTGACTGAACAGAACCTGTTCAGAAGCAGGCAATACCTTTACTAGACTACTGGGAAAAAAACAAGTAGATTGCAAGCTTTTAGGGGTAACATATTCCATCTTCCTCAAGCAGTTTCAAAGGTTTCTTGGTATGGTTGTTGTAGTACATGCCAGATAAGCATTCTTTGGAGGCCACTTGGCTTATTTTTGATTTTAAACTTACATTGTGAGATCACACTGTTCTGCATTTCGTCACTGTTGGAAACCAATCATATACAATCTTTGCCACAATATGGATTAGGGCTGCAAAACTACAAAGGCCTAAAGCCAATTGTGCTAACTGTGATGAAGGAACTGTGATTATCGGTGCCGTGGAGTCTCAAATGTGGGCTTCCGCAGGGCTCGATTATCTCCCCAATGTTGTTTAATATCTATATGAGGCCACTAGATCAGGTCATCAGGGGATGTGTGGCTTCATGTCATCAGTGCGCTGATGACACCCAGCTCTACGTCTCCTTTCCCCCAACAACAGTGGATGCCGTTTCATCCCCTCAGCGCTGCCTGGAGGCTGTACTGCAATGGATGCAGGTGAATAGACTGAGGCTGAACAGAGGTCCTGAGGGTGGGTGGCCCCACCATCGGTGGTTTGGGAAACTCCCTCACTTTTGGGGGAGTGACTCTCACCATGAAGACTGAGGTTCGCAGCTTGGGAGTCCTCCTGTCATTAGTTAATTTATTTCTGCCATCTTGAATTATATTAATGTTGTTGTTTTATTTTATATTGTTATTGTATTATGAAATTGTTGTTAGCTGCCCAGAGTAGACTTTGGTCTAGATGGGCGGGATATAAATTAAATAGATTTTAGATTAGGAATCCTTCAGTCTTGAGAGACTATGGTAACATGCTCGGATTAGAGGACTTGGAACAGCGTCTAGTGTGGCTGAGAAGGTTAATTTGAGATAAAATAAAATAAAATAAAATAAAATTTCTTCCTCTTCCTCCCTGCTGCAAGCACCCTTACTTGATCCACAAGTTTTTTGAATCTCTCTGGGTAGGTTCGGGAACAAGGGGATCCACAGGGCACTGAATTCCAGAGGGGAACCTATGCCAAAGGAAGCAGTTCCATCTGTAGATGTCTTCTGTTGGAACCTGTCCAGAATGCCATAGTGTCACAATCTGAAGCAAGTAGTCCCAGATAGCAGGAAACAGAAGAGCAGGGGCTAAACATTCTGTGCTCTTTAGTGTAGCGGCCATGGTCAGAATCTTGTTGCGGAAATGCGAAGTAGAGGAGCAATCACAAAAGCATTCCATCCGCCACAATGAACTATCCTGTGTTCAACGAGGTGTGAACTGGTTGTGAAATTAGTTGCATACCTGCTTGCAGGAAAGACAGCCTACAGGGTGGGGTGGTGGTGGATGCACTTGGTGATTGCTCTTGCATGCACCGTTTTTACCAACAAGATTCTTGCTGTGTGTTGTGCGTTTGAAAGGCAAGAGACAAATTTCATTGACGTACAACCCTATCATTCTTTCTAAGGGCAGAAATAAATCAATAATCTATAGATTTGGGAGGGGGGGAAACCTAATGGAGTAACCCTACACATGCCTAAGTGAAGCAAATGCTTTTCAGGTAGATACAATTGATTGTCAGGGGAGGTGTACAGGTTTGTAGTGCTGTAGAAAAAAATCCAGTGGATCCTAGAAATGACCACAGTTGGTCTGGCACTGCACTGGAATACTGAGTCATGGACGGACTAATGAAATGGGGGTGGAACGTGGGTATGGAATAAAGTATTGTGGAAGAAGGTGTAGCTAACTGGCTGCAGTAGTGAAGAGGAGCATTCCAGACTACAGCATTTTTTAGAAGGCCCCATTTGTTCTGTGGGTCACTGCTGAACTCCGTGCAGGTTGTCGTTTTTGGCATTATTATAAAGTATGCAGCCAGAAAGCTGGCTGGAATCCTTTTTAAGGAGAAAGGAGGGTAACAATATTTTAAAAAAATAAAAATAAACATATGTGTGGTCAGTTATAATTAAAAAATAAGCTGCGTTTTCTGTGCTTATTGCCAGAACAAGTCCCAGGGAAATTGGCCTTCTTAGTTAACATGTTTAAGGTGGGGCTGTTTTGTAAGGCAGGAAAAATAATAAAGCTGAAAGATAATGGTAATTCTCTTTGAAATAAAAAAAAAATTGTGACCATTGCTACATTTTAAAACATTTCTGCGGATTCTCCCTTTATCAGCAAGTCTTTTTTTCTTGAAAATATCTTCCCTGAAACCTAAACCATTTACAGGTGCCCCTGCTATCCCAGTAAGACCTCACCAATGTTTGTTTTCATTTTCAACTTGCAGTGGCAATGAAGTGCAGCAAAACCAAGTCTAGTAGCCAAGAAGCCTTCCAAATACTCTCAACGGCTCGACTCAACTTACGTGGTTTAGTAGCCAAAACAAAGGTGAGAGTGAGATGGATGTAATTAAAGGGAATTGTCTCTATAGCTGAGATGCCACCCAGAGTCAGTATGAAGGTCCATGTGCCCTTCTTGATGTTGTCAAGACCTGTAAGCTTATTTTTTCCCTATTCTCATTGAAATACAGCATAGTAGAAAGGCATTATAAAATACTTTTTGAAAGTTTATACCTTTTATAACAACTCCATATATCTTATCTCTTAGTCATCTCTCTTCTTCTTGCTGTGTCATGTTTGTGTTCACCAGAATTCATTAAGCAACACATAATAGTACATGTGCCCCCTTTTGCACTTGAGGGAAGGAGGTGACTCGTAGGGTCGATGTCTCACCATGCAGAGCTTTTGTTGCAAAACCAGAGATGCTCTTAGCATAGAGTCATAGAATAATGGAGTTGGAGGGGGCTTGTTAGGTTACCGAGTCCAACCCTCTGCTAAATGCAGGAATCCAAATCAAAGTGTATCTGATGGATGGTTGTCTAGCTTCCTTTTGAATGCCTCCAGTGCTTGACCGCTCACCACCTCTCAAGGTACAGTGGTGCCTCACATAGCGATCGCTCCGTTGAGCGACGAAATCGCTTTGCAATGGACTTTTTGCGATCGCAAAAGCAATCGCTTTGCAATGTTCCCTATGGGGTATTTTCGCTTTGCGATGATCGCAGGGAAGCGATCATCGCAAAGCGCCCATTTTCACACAGCTGATTGGCGGTTTCAAAATGGCAACCAGGGAAAAAACATGGCCACCCGCTGTTTTTTGGGACGGATTCCTCGATTTAGAGCCACCGAAAATGGCGGTGCTATGGAGGATTTTCGCTCAACGGTGAGTTTTAAGCCCATAGGAACGCATTAATCACGTTTTAATGCGTTTCTATGGGCTTTTTTATTTTGCTTTGCGATGAAATCGCTTAGCAGCGATTTTTTCTGAACGAATTAACATTGCTAAGCGAGGCACCACTGTAATTGGTTTCATTGCTGTAGTGTTGCCACAGTTAGGAAGTTTTTCCTGATATTCAACCAAAATCTGGCTTCCTGTAACTTAAGACCATTATTACATGTCCTGCAGTCTGAGATGATTGAGAACAGATCCTGCTCCTCCTCTGTGTGACAGTCTTTCAGATATTTGAAAAGTGTCATCATATCTCCTTTTTTTCCTCAGTCTTCTTTTCACAAGGCCAAACATGTCCAGACCTTTCAGTCTTTCATCACAGGGCTTGGCTTCCAGGCGCTGATCATCCTTGTTTTCCTCCTCTGAACTTCTTTCAGTTTGTCTGCATCCTTCTTAAAGTGCAATCTGGATAAGGTCAACTTGCTGCTACTGCAAAATTAGTCAAGACTTGGAAGACCCTAGTGCCATCTATTCTGTCTCAAGCCTACTTTGGTTTAATGACCCTTGTATAAATTCATGACATAACTGGTATCCTGATAGAATGAATGTAACTGGACTCTTCCATTCTCTTTTGAGGCCCTTGCCAGATAAGACAAGGCTACTGGCTATAGGGCATCTTTAAGAATTGCCACCCCATTAGAATTCCCTCCCCAGAGTAGGCAAATTCTCTGAATATCCCTCCCCAGTAATTCTGGGTCTTATGCTGTTTGGCTGCAGAAGACTCCATCAATTCATGGTTGATACTGAAATCTGGTTTGTAGCAGATTTTATCACCAGCCCCAGTGTGTCCTCCAATGAAAGACCTGTTTTTCCCCCCTTTCTATTGGTGGTTAACTTTGCTTTCAGATTATTTGATTCTCTGGTACTGTCTCTGGCTTCTGGACTGGAAAGAGTCCTGTCAGTACACAAAGTTTTCTACTTTTAAATAAACTGACAACATCACCTACAAGATGTCATTTGTTTGCTCTCCACACACACAGTGAGTACCATTAGCCCTGTCGTATTTAGGAGGAAAGGATACTGTCCAATGTAAACAGAAAGAAGTGAGATCAATAATCTTATGGAAATTGTTACAAGTTGTTCTGGTTTATATGCAGAGGGCCCTTCTTGTCTCTTGTTTAAAGCTTTTCTGCTACAGATTATTCTTAATTTTCTCGTGCAGACTTTTGCAGATGCAGCGACTGGTGAACTTCCCACTGACCTAGCTGAAGAAGTGGCAGCTTTGGACAACATGATAATGGAACTGCAAGAACTTAGCAATCAGCTAAAGAATCAGCTCTGAGAAAAAGAAGATACCGTTTCCTGAAAGGAAGGGCAGAGCAGCCACACTTTGTTGGCTAATGTCTGTGCTAATGAGCTTGCAGTAAATCAAACACCCCAAGGGGAAGTGTTCTTAAAAAAATATTTTCCACACAATACAGGTTTTAATTGTGACCAGTCATTGCTGAGAGAGTAAAGTGTGTTTCAGATTGCATCTGTTCTTTCTCACTTTGGGTGTTGGGGTAATTTCTGTTGGTCTGGGTTTTGTAAAATAAAACGGATTGGTTTTTATTTAGGAGGCCTTTTTATTTAGGATTAGTTCTGCTCAAGTGCACAGCATAATTGGCTCCTATCCGTAGCTGTGCACTTCACAGATAGGGGAGATTAAAGAACCCTGTTGATTATTAGAAGGGGAAAAGAAAGGGGACATGGAGTCTGCTGTTGTTTTAAGTGAGTGGGTGCAGGTCTGGAAAGACAGAAAACCAAACAAAAACTAAAATGACTTTCTTCAGTGGTGTTTAAAACAAATGTTATGTGATAATTTCTAGCTGCATTCTCTTTAACGATAACTGCTTTCAAAGCTAAGCATTCACAGAAAATGGTCTGCATCTTTCCCTAACATGTAGCAGCAATGGCACCCTAAACATAACTTTGTCCTGCTGCAGCACCCTGGAAAACATCTTTTGGTCTACAAAGCCATTGGCTGAGCTGCAGTAGCGTTCCTGAGTTTTCAATAACTTTCGAAGTTTAAATATAAGAGGGCCATATGAAATTCAGCTCCTGTAAGTTTTTCGATGAGTGGCAGCTTACCAATACCAGTTGCTTCTTCTGCACTTGAACTGAAGATGGCTGTTGCCTTTGTATCCCTCATAGCCTAAAATCAGCATTTATAGGGACTTCCTAGAGCACAGCAAAGCTATTTAGTCCTGCTGTCAGTTTCTCTAGACATTAGTATCCCTCTTGTTTTCATCCAGTTCTTAATAATTCAAGATACATTGGATTCACTGATGGAATGGTAGAATTGATGGAGGCACTGCCCCTTCTTAGTGCATCTCACAACTAGATATGGATGGCTAACAAACTCCCCCCAAGGCATTTTTCAGCCAAAGCAGAGAGCTGCATTGGGGAAGAAAAGAAGACCAAAGGGTTTAAATCTCTCCGTGTGGAGATTTCTGCGCCTTTCTCCCATTAGCCCGTCTTCTCTGAATTTATTTAACCGTTCTTGAAAATTGCTGAACATACTGTCATCCTTTCATGTTTTGTAAAATTCTGTGATGTGTTTTTGCCTTATATGAATAAATATTTCCTTCTGTTTGTCCTGAATATTGGTTGAGGATCTCAAGTTCCTCAGTCAGTTCACAATTACATTTATCTCTGCTAATTCAAATTCTCTTTTTAAATTTCTTTTGTAAGCCCAAACACCCAACATGTGAAGAAAGAAAGATGTATCACTTACCTGATCATTTTGCTTTTCTTCCTGTATTTTCTCCGGCTTAACTACCCTTTTAGAAACATGCTGACTAGAATCACACAGATTGAAAGAAGGATCAGCAACAAACAGTCTCCAGAGGACTGGGGACTATATACACCCATCTCTGGACACTGTATGATCACTCCCATCTTATAAAAATGGAGAGTGGCTGAATAAGTCCCCTTTTGCATCCAGTAGCTAAGAATAAACTGGGGGCAAGTAAAGCCTTCTGGAATACCTTGAAACATGACAAAAATCACTCCCATACCACCTAGAAGACTTTCTAATCCAGTTCTTTCCCCTTCAAATACAATTACATTGGGAGGAATATTGAGGACTGCCTTTGGGCCCCTTCTTGCTGGGGGGGCAATGTGTAGCCTGTATAATTAAAATTGTAAACCGCCCGGAGAGTGCTTGTAGCGCTATGGGGCGGTATATAAGTCCAATAAATAAATAAATTATATTCCCTCCTCCCACTGAGTCCTGGCATTTCTTGTTCTCCATCTGCAGTACACAGAGCTGGCACTTTCAATTGGTATTTTCCACCTTGACCTAGAATCTCCTACATAGAGTATATTTCTACATTTGAAATATATACTGTGGTGATGTTTATATATTTTCAAGGCAGTAGCCCTGTTAGTGTGTTGTAGTGAAAATGATGAAGAGTCTTGTGGCAGCTTGAATGCTAATAAATTTTATTTGATATGTATTTTTGTGACCTATAACTTTATATGTTTTCAAGTTCTAAATGGATTGTTATGCATTTACCATAGTGAAATTCTCCCCAACACTCGATGTACAGGGAGCTTTGCTTTGTGCAAACACACACCCAAATGAGTCACTCTGCACATGTTTACAAATAACTGTGATGCCAAAAAGCAGCTGCACAGTCTGTACAAGAACGTGGACAAAACTTACCCTCTGAGACATATCTTTGTATCAATGATGCTGAAAGAATTCAAATTCAGTAGATGGATATATGATGCCTCCTTATATGTTATACAATAGCAGAACTGGATTTATCATTGCATGTTTGCTGGAAGATTTCCACTCTCATAACTTGATTTGATTAAACATTCTTTACATTATAATTCAGATGAAATAGGGACTTACTAGAACAGAAGACAAAATAAACATATAAACAATGACAAAGAATCAACAAACTAAAATGTAATGGTACTATACAAAACTTCAGTGAGATTCAAATCATCACTATGATTTCCCCAATATTATGCAGAATGTATATATTAAATAGATTTGAGTGGAATTTAAATCATTCTCCAGCAGTCCATGGGGGAAAAACTCTTTTGTTTTAATAATAATAAAAGATAAGCCATATTATCTGCATTTTATTAGATAATGGCTGCTGTTAATATTAGGACCCCTACTTGTAGGATGAGCTAGACGTTTATTTATTTATTTATTTATTTATTTATTTATTGTAACTCCAGACACCGTAGACTAAGCCTGGGAGTGTCTACTTGCAAAGCACATACTTCACTACTGAGCAATAACCCCTCATTACCATTCATATTTGTGCTCAGCATTTTTAGATATGTGAAGAAGACTGAAATGCAAACCATCACTAGAATTAGAAAAGTCATTTCCCCTTCCTGTTTCTCTTCAGCCTCCTAGATATGCTTTACTATTTAAATTTCCCAAAAGAGGCATGAGGGGCATCCTGTTGTTTCTTTTTCTGCTTGCAGATGAATGAGGTGAGTAGACTTATACTAAAGATGTCATTTGTACCAGGTCCAAGCATTGACACAGGAACAGAGGGCCTTTCCAGGGAAAATCTATAATAATGCTTGTACTGCAGGCATCCTGGAATGGTGCTTTCCTCAGAAGTGATTATTAATGTTGATGAATGGCATCATCTCATGGAGATTAGATCAATAAAACCTTCCTATCACATTCTGCCACCTTCATGGATTGCTGCCTTGTCGTGGCGAAGGGGCTTGAGTAAGGAAGAAAAGAAAAGCAAAAAAGCCGCCTAGAGTGGTCACAATTGACCAGATAGGTGGGGTATAAATTAAATAAACAAACAAACAAACAAACAAACTGTGCAAGACCCTTCAGAAATGAAAAAAAGCAAAGCAAAAAGCAAAACTGTGCAAGACCCTTCAGAAATGCAAATAAAGCAAAGCAAAAACCCCCTGCAAGATCGATTGGAAATGGGGAAACCCCCCAAAAAAACAAACTCTGCAAGACCCATCGGAAATTGGGGGGAATCCCAAACAAAAAAAACCCTGCAAGACCCATCGGAAATTGGGGGGGAACACCAAACAAAAAAACCCCTGCAAGACCCATTGGAAATGGAAGGGGAACCCAAAAAGCAAACAAACCCCGTAAGACCCATTGGAAATGAGGGGGAAACAAAAAACAAACAAACCCAGCAAGACCCATCGGAAATTGGGGGGGAGCACCAAACAAAAAAACCCCTGCAAGACCCATCACAGCATAGAAACATAATCCCACTGCCCAGCCCAAAGCCACACTGCAAAACCCACCCAGAACAGTTTTTTAAAAGTAGAAGCAGCACCTTACCAGGCAGTCCGATCGCACTCACTCTAACTGTTGGAGCGAAAGAGCTACAAAGAAGCATCCTCTTCGCCACCAACAGTTAACAATTTGAATTCAAACACCTTTTTTCCCTGCCTTTTTCTGGTTGTAACTCGAAGCTCCGGTCACAAGTCGAAGCAAAATTTTGCTTGAGCTGGAGCTGGTCGTAACTCGAAATGGCCATACGTCAGGACGTTCGTAAGTCGAGGCACCACTGTACTAGTAACCTAAAACTCTTGAAAAAGGGCTTTCATAAATCAGAATTAACATCACACAATTGTTAATTATATTTACACATATCCCCATGACCAGGGAGGGTTCAGATAAGAGACAAAGGGACAGTGGTGCATTAACACAAGAATGGGCCTCTCAATCAATTAATTACTTCAACTGGCGCATCAAGTAAGATGTGCTAACTGGCGCATCAAGTAAGATGTGCTAATTGAAGTAATTAACTGATTCATAGCTCCATTCTCTGTTAATGAACCACCTTCTCTTCGTCTATTATCTGAATCCTCACCTGGTCACGAGGATACGTACAAGGATACCAACCACTTACAGTATTTGGACTCCAGTGTCTGAGGATGTGTACTTTGAGCTACAAATGCTCATGCTGAAATAAAACTGTTAGGTTTTAAACACTACAGGGCCTTCCCCACCCCCTTTCCTTTTCCCAACATACTTTCTTCAGACAGTTGCAAACATCACATGAGAGAAAAAAAATTTAAAGGCTTTAAAACATATTTTCCCCCGAGAGCCAAGGCAAAACATTTTTAGATTTTAAAAAAATATTTCAGTCTTTTTCATCCCACAAGCCATCCCACAACTCTCCAGCCCGCACCTAATCATTTTTTAAACATTGCTTTTGACTATTTAAAATACTTTAATCCTGATCCTCTTCCAGAAAGTCTCTTAGACCAGTATATAACTAACAGAAAAAGTCCCTGTCTACAGGATAAAATGTACAGAGACCCAAGACAAGAGGAATGGGGGTGGGGGAAGAAGTCTTTCCACAGAATAAGTGGAGCATAGTTTTAAAATGTGCTTTTACAAAGCACAGGATAGCAGGCTGGATAGATCAGTGGTTTAGATATCTGGCTGTGGAGCCAGAGGTTGGAGGTTCAATTTCCCCCCTGTGCCCCCTGTGAGTAGAGCCAACCCATGTGGCCTTGGGCCAGCTGCACAATCCCAAGAGTCCACCCCCTCCCCAAAGGGAATAGTAAACTACTTCTGAGTACTTTATCTAGGAAATGCTGAAAAAGGGTTGCTATTAACTAACAATTGACATAATGGTGCACAATTATTATTATTACAAAGCACAGATTCTCTCCCCACTTCCCAATCCTCCCCCACTAACAAATAGTTGCTTTTTCTAACATGTCAGTACTTAAGAAGAGTCTACAGAGCCGGGGAATGTCTTGATGTCTAAAGCAAAGCAAAGCCTGATTTGGAGAACCACATTTTATTTTTCCTTCTGAAAGTTGGCCTAAATTTGCACACAGACACACAATTTTGTACAGTATGTCTGCAAATTGTTCTATGGGCTTGTTCCCGGGATCTTATGAACTTCTGGTCCAGTTGTTCCCAAAGCTTCTCATTTAATCAGTGTGAGGGCCCCCTGCTTTGAGCAGCACTTAATTGGCCTTCACTACCTCATTCCAGGAGAAAGCCTCATTCTCTGGAGCATCAGAGACTGGAAAACTCATGACTATATTGATCATGTTTCTTTTTTTAATGATTAGCAAAGGCTGAACAGGATGCACTTTTAAGACTTAAACTTTGTAATCCAATAGCAACAACAAAAAGGAATTAATGAGACATCATTTTGCATTCTTGGTGTTTAAATACAAACTAGTGTAGTCTTGGGAAAAATGAAGCCAAGCAGGGGAAATTGTTGACCAAACCATTCAATTCTTGTCAATACGATTACTCAGACTGGCACCACTGTGTTTCAAAAAATCATTGTAAAATGCTCATGGTGACAGAAAAATATTGTCTTCAAGCGCAGTTGTATAATTACCACAGGGAAAATCAGCGGACATACATGATATTTACAAGTAGATAAACAAGAAGTCTGATTTTCCATTTACTTGCAGTTACACTATAGTATATATTACATTTTTAGGCTGATGACACAATGTTTCTAAGACTGTCCATGCTGCTTAGAAAAATCCTGGTGCATCCAGATTTTTAAGTGGCGGCTGCCATTGCTGATATACTTTTAAGGTTCACTCTTTCTTCTCTATGTCTTCTGCCTGACCTGGGCAGGGCACACAGCCAGAGAAAGCTTCAGAAACAACCCAAGATTTCCCCAAGGAAGTAATTTTAAGAGCAGGTGAATAGGCAATAGTAACTTGTACATGGAAACTACCAACTAGTAGGGATTGTTTCTCAAAACACATTGTTTTCTCAAATCCCCTGATTTTCCATTTCTGGTAGGATATACATATGGCGTACACTGCTCTGTGAATTGTCTATATTTGGCATAAGAATAGTTTCGGCAGCATGTAAATGAAGAAAGTCTCCTCAGGGACACTATATCACAAGTAGGTTAAACATTCAAATTGAATATCCCAAGTACAGTAATGGCACTATGCAACATAGGAAGCATTTTCTTAAACATTTAGAGAAGCACTTATAAATAGATTTCAATCAACAAGAAACTTGTTCAGGCATGCACTCAAATATAGTAGCAGTGTTCATTAGACAAACATTTCTGCTAATCACTACAGTGTACTAATAAAAGATAGGTCCTGTAAACCTGTCCAGAGATAGAGCTGATTTTC